CAGTCAGCGCGAGGGAGTTGACTTCTTTCAGACCTTCGCACCTACCCCGAAGATGACCACTCTTCGGGTGTTACTACACGTAGCAGCACAGAGAGACTACGAGTTACACTCTCTCGACTTCTCCACTGCTTTCCTTCAGGGCAGCCTACACGAGGAGGTCTGGTTGCGTCGTCCCTCGGCCTTCACTGGCACTTTCCCTCCTGGGACACAGTGGAGGCTGAGGCGACCTGTTTACGGTCTTCGCCAGGCCCCTCGCGAGTGGCACGACACTCTGCGTTCTACCCTCTCTGACCTTGGGTTCCAGCCGTCTTCTGCCGACCCGTCGCTGTTCGTTCGTCGTGGCTCCACACCGTTCTTTGTTCTGGTCTACGTCGACGACCTCGTTTTCGCCACTCCGGACAGGGTTGCTTTGGCAGACGTGAAGTCCGAACTGCAGAAGAGACACACGTGCACTGATCTTGGTGAGCTGCGCCACTACCTTGGCCTGCAGATCACCAGGGACAGAGCCGCTCGCACCATTACACTCTCACAGTCACACATGGTGCAGCAGGTCCTTCAGCGGTTCGGGCTTCAGCACTCCACCGTACAGCGCACACCTCTCGCTGTTGACCACAGACTCACTGGTCCCTTTCCTGACGAGCCGTTTGAGCCTAGTGGTCCCTACGCAGAGCTTGTGGGTTGCCTCATGTACCTGATGACTTGTACTCGCCCGGACCTCGCCTTCCCTCTCAGCATCCTTGCGCGCTTTGTTGCGCCAGGGAGACACCGTCCTGTTCACTGGACGGCAGCTGTGAGGGTGGCGAAGTACCTAGCGACTACATCAAGCGTGGGGCTAGTTCTTGGAGGGCAGCAGTCTGTCGTACTCACTGGTCACTGTGACTCCTCTTACGCTGACGACGCTGAGACTCACAGGTCTACTCAGGGGTACTGTTTCAGTCTGGGTTCTGGAGCTGTTTCCTGGCGTTCCACGCGCTCCTCTTCTGTCTCGACCTCTACAGCTGAGGCTGAGATTTACGCTGGTGCCATGGCGGCACAGGAGTTGCGGTGGTTGACCTTCTTGCTCGCCGACCTTGGTGAGCGGCCGAGCTCTGCACCGACCTTGTTTACTGACAACAAGGCGTCGATCCTCCTCTGTCGTGAGCCGCGACTGGAGAGCAGAGTGAAGCACATTCACGTCAGGTACTTTCTTCTGCGAGAGTTGCAGAGACGTGGACAGGCTCGCTTCGAGTTCGTGGAGTCCGAGGCCAACACTGCAGACATCTTCACCAAGGCGCTTCCGCCTTGTGACCACCAGAGGTGTTGTGTGCAGTTAGGCCTTGTTGACACAGGTTCTAGTCATGTGTAGACTTGAGTTTATTGCCTGCTTCGTCTGTACACTTGCTATATATACTTGTGATCTCTTGGACTGGCCTTGTGGCCACTGTTGCTTGTGCTCAGAGTGTGTGGTGACGTTGTGATCCACCCTGAGCTTTGTTTTCTTTTGGACTGGTCTTGTGACCGTACTCTTTTTGATTTTGCTAGACACCCCTCACTTAGGCTATGGGGGTGTGTCAAATGTTGTAGCCTGTAGTGAGGTTTGTCTTAGGGGGTACAGAAGTTAGGGTTTGTCATATGTACCCCAACCAATATCAATGGATACTCATTCCTCATTCTGACAGCGGGAACTCAAACTGAGGTGGATGAAATGAGACTAGGTGGCAGGTCTGTGGACCTGCCGAGGGATAAGAGGGGAATGCCTCCTTATTGCATTCCCCCCTTTTCGAATCTTGTCACAATCATTAAATTTAGAAATTTATTTCTAAATTATTCATATTTCAAATTGTACTAAACCCATTTGAAATGAGACGATGCCATTGCTACATGAAAGAAAGCAAGCTTTCTAAATTTCCGAATCTACGAAAGAGCAGAGGGAAAGAGCCATACGATATTGCTCCTTTTGCTGGTGAATTAGCAAGACTGAACCCAGGGCTTATCATTTGGGGGGGGGGGTCCAGCAGAATATGGTATCGCACTGTAGTACGGTACATCAATCAAGAATCATCATCATCATCATCCTCCCCATCGTCATGCCCCTCCACCTCAAACCCTTCACCATCATCCCCATCCTCATGCCCCTCCACGTCCTGCTCAAAGTGCATGTCATGCATGTGGTGCTGCTGCGCGCCAAAGCGCGAGGGGTCGCGCGGGAGGTGGAAGGGGCGGTAGTTGGGCGGCATGGTGAAGCCGGAGAAGGAGATGCGGTCCATGGAGAGGCCGCCAACTATGGGCATCACGTTCCAGTAGACCGTCAGGTTGAAGGGCAGCCCCCTCAGGCTGTTGCCCTGCCATGTGCGAGAGAGAGAGGCAAGGAAAGGACACACGCGTAAGAGGCAGTTGGCGACATGAAACGTGATGGAGAGGCCGCCAACTATGGGCATCACGTTCCAGTAGCCCGTCAGGTTGAACAGCAGCCCCCTCAGGCTGTTCCCCTGCCATGTGCGAGTGAGAGAGACAAGGGCGCGTGCGAAAAGGGAGTGGCGACAAGAAACGGGAACAGAGAAGGAACGTGGAAAACAACGCAATAACTGGTGAGGGAAGAGCTCGAAGACGAGGGCACCTGAGGGGCAGAAAACAAGAGGAGGACAGCTGAGGGGCGGAAAACAGAGAGGAGGGCAGCTGAGGGGCAGAATGCGAAAAGTGGGCGTACAGCAAGGGGAAGGGTGGATTGCTGACGTCTCTGACCAACTTCTGCAGAAGTGAGGAAGGGTGGATTGGTGGTGACCTGACCTTGTCCATGAGCGAGTACTCGCTGATCTCCCTCGTGAACTGCAGTCATTTTTTAGCTCAGCAAGTACCCCCTAATTGGACAGCGCAGCAAGTGGATCCGCGAAACCTGGTCGTGAATGTGGATTGGTGCTGACCTGGTCCATGAGCGAGTACTCGCTGATCTCCCTCGTGAACTGCAGCGCTGCGTCCTCCTTGCGCTCCACGATGGCATCCCACAGCGATACCTGGCACACAATCACCCACGCACCACCATGGCATGGTGAGTCCTTGGTGTTTGCTAAGATATTAGAGCTATGCACTCAGACCACAGCTGGCTATGCACTCGGAGAATGATGCAGAGTGGACAAGACAAGGGTCAACGTGGATGGAGGGAGATGAGGAACAGACGAGCAGTGAAGTCGGATGAGGAAACTGGGAAAGCCAGGCCCACCTGATTCAGAGGATGCTTTGGGGTTGAAAAGTCTGCAGTGACAAACACAAACAGCTGGGGAAGACACAGAGGGACGCATAAGGGTTGACAGGGTTGCATTAGGAGCAATTCACGAGCATCTCCGAAGCTGCAGTAGCTTGCGAGGCAGGAGTAGCAGCACGTCAGCACACGGGAAACGACTGCTGTAGCCTCTCCATTCTAGAGACAAGCTAGCAAGAGCCAACACACTAACTTCCTTCCAATTCACCAGCATCGCTCCGTGCAAGCAAGGTGAATGGTCTGGTGATGACGCAAAAGGCAATAAATCTGGCCAGTCGCAATGGCACATGCGGCTGCAGGTCGTGGGAATGAAGGTAAACTGGAGTGAGTGGGACAAGCAACTCGTGACAGTGCTGGCATGCCCTGCCGACACAGACTCGCCCAGAGCGGTCCAGCCAGGTGCAGAGTGGCAGCAGCAACCACCCGCGGCAGGGACGACAGAGGGGTTTCCCAGCAGCAGCATGGCAGGTGGCCGCCACGGGGGGAAAGAATGGTGTGTGACGGGGAAATGTTGGTGTGCGGAGGGGGAGGGGCGAGTGGCGGAAACGAGTGGGGAGTGGGGCGAGGAGAGGAGAAGGCACCTGCTTGGTGTTCCAGGTGAAGACGGACGTGAGGTTGGCCGTGATGTTGAGCGTCAACACGGCCTGAGGAAGGCGGACGGGGAAGGGGATGGGAAGGGGGAAACGGGAGGGGGTAGGGGTAGGGGGAGGGTTGGAGGAGTGGGTTGGGAGGACGAGGAGGGGGAGGGGGAGGGATAACGACTGCCCGGATAACGTCAGCACTGCCATCACCACACGCACCGCCACCAAGGAGTGGTATTTTCAGGGCGTACCTCATCATCAAGGCCTACCTCATCGTTGCCCTGGAAGGGACCGCCCGGTATCCTCCAGAAGTGCTCCACGTCCAGCAGCTGCACGTTGCACGCATCGCACAATTCGCAAAATTCGCACACGTAAGGACATGGGCGTCGAAGTTAGCTCACGCTGCGGACATATATTGCACGAAAACGCAACCAGATCTCGTTCGGTTTCAGAATTCTCAGCCGAGGTACGCGACGGGATTTGAATGTTTTCCTGATAACGCATGATTGAGCTGCGTTGAACCGGATCGCATGATCGAACCCGTCGAGGATGCAACCCTAAGCTCTAAGAACGACTTAGCGTGGAACTGCGAGAGTTGACACGACAAATCACGTCGCGAATGGGACGATACGCAGCAAGGAAACTACTAGGCTAGAGGAGCGTGAAGCCTCCCACGAGGCATCGGCCAGCTCACGTCCAGATCGACGGTCGGGGAGGACGTGTGGAGGCGCTCGGAGAGGGACGCAAGCACGCTGAGGCCGATGAGCAGAAAGACGGAGAGCGTGACGACCGCGTTCACGCGGTACAGCCACGTGTGCATCGCGGCGAGGCAGGCGTCTAGGCAGCTCGTGGCTTTTAGCGCAGCGAAAATAGGACGCAGGGATTGATATTAGAATGCTGTCAGGTAGATTTGAAGTGGTGGGGCTTCACTGATTACAGAGAGCATGTATCCGTTACAGAAAGCGCAAACCAGCAATGATGACGCAGTACAGTTTAAAGCAGCAGTATACATTTGGCAGTACTGTTGGATTGACTACAGTGCCCAAAACGATTTCGCCCCAGCGAAAGTGAAACAGCTTGGCGAGAGTGTTGGCGAAAATTCCGAGCCCCTCCACCACTTCGGGGGAATTGTGTGGGTACAAAATAGATGCACCACTTGTCTCCAAACTCCTAGTATTGGTGCTATGGTATCACTTGTCTCCAAACTCCAAGTATTCGTGCTATGGTATCACTTGTCTCCAAACTCCAAGTATTGGTGCTATGGTATCACTAGAGCAAAATAGGTTCTAGGGTACCCCAAGACTCGCACTTTAGACAAGTGCTGGGCCGGCAGACGCGACGCTGCATCCATATGTGTACGTCCCGCCCGCCTCCCGCGCACTCACTTCCCCCAGCGCGCATTCGCTCCCCTCGCGCGCACTCGCTCCCCCAGCGCTCACTCGCTCCCCGCGCTCGCACTCGCTCCCCCAGCGCGCATTCGCTGCCCCCGCGCGCACTCGGTCCCCTCGCGCTCACTCGCTCCCGCGCGCACTAGCTCCCTCCGCGCGCACTCGATCCCCCAGCGTGCATTCGCCCCCCCCGCTCTCACTCGCTCCCACCGCGCTCACTCGCTCCCTCCGCGCGCACTCGCTTCCCCAGCGCGCATTCGCTTCCGTCGCGCGCACTTGCCCCCCCCGCGCTCACTCGCTCCCCCCGCGCGCACTCGCTCCCTCCGCGCGCACTCGCTCCCTCGGCGCGCACTCCCTCCCTCCGCGCTCACTTGCTCCCCCCGAGCTCACTCGCTCCCCCCGCGCTCACTCGCTCTCCCCGCGCTCACTCGCTCCCCCCGCGCTCACTCGCTCTCCCCGCGCTCACTCGCTCCCCCCCCGCGCACTCGCTCCCCCAGCGCGCATTCGCTCCCCCCGCGCTCACTCGCTCCCCCCCCGTGCACTCGCTCACCCTCTCCCAAACGCTTAGGCCTCTTCCTTCCCCTCTTACTATCTCCTCCACCGCCTCTCCCCCCTTCTAACCGCTCGTCTTTCCCTCTCTGCATCCCCTCCTTTTCCTCCCTGCATCCCCTCCTTACCCCCCCTGCATTCCCCCTGCTTCCTATCGTATGCGTTGCCAGTGGTGCAGGCACTGGCAGGGCGTGTGGTGCGGCGAGTGCGGGCGGTGGTAGGGCGTGTGCCCACCAGGGACCTGGCTGCTCAGGTGGGTAATACGGTCATTTCCCCCTCCCCAGTAGACGCTGGCGTATGTGCTGCCAGTGATGCAGGCCCTGGTGGGGCACGTGGTGTGATGAGTCAGAGTGGTGGTTGTATTGCCCACTCGAGACCTGGCTGTTCAGGTGGGTGTTATGGCGTTTCTGTGCACACATATTGCTGCCGTGCCCTTACACTCCCTTACTCGCAGACAAAGCCGAGTTTCAACCGTTAACCCTGCTCTCCCACCCTTGCCCCGCAACTTAACTTGTCTTTCTGTCCAATATACAATCCTGCTCTCCCCTTCTTCCTCTCTCCCCTTCCTTGCCCCCCACCGTGCCATTCTGCCTACTACTGCAGGTGAAGCACGTGTTTGACACCATAGCGCTGGCTGTCGGCCTTGCAATGGCTCTCGTCATCAAATCATAGCTTGCTGACGAGGCAACCAACCTCGTGCCGCACCCTGCCGCCCGTTCTGGCCCCTTGGGCCCCCTCAGTCACTCAAGATACAGACAGGGAAACGGCTACAGTAGTGGCCCAATTCACGTCGCTCACCCTTGTCGCTGCCGCTGCCGCCCCTTCCGCCACCACTGCTGCCACGTCAGCAGTCGCCGGCATGCATGCTGACATGGCAGTGAGCATGCCAGCTATTTGCTCCTAGTGTCGTAATCCCGCGTTCTTGCTCCTCACATTTTCTCTCATCTTTTCACACGCAACCCTGCCTTCCCATCTCCCATCCCTTCCTTCCCATCACTGCTCTCCCTGCCTTCGCATCTGCCCAATTCATCCCCTTCTTTCCTGTTTTTCCCTTCCCTGCCCTCCCCGCTGCCCTTCCCTTCCCTGCCCCACCCTTCCCTTTCCCATCCCTTCTCCCTTCCCTCCCTTGCATGCCCTCCTCTCCCCCCTCAATCACTCGTCACCGTCTACCCTCTAGTTCTTGTGCATGTAGTGCCATCACTTGCTTGAATTCCTTTGTTGCTTCTCCCCTTCTGCCTCAGCACCTTCCCATTGGGCCTTACACAATCGATTTTGCCTACTCTGCCAATTGGCTGTGTTGAAACAGAGAGGAGGCAGCAGTTACAAGCAGAGGCGTAACTAGTGGATGTTTGTCACCACTATTGTTTTGTCTCGTATGCGTTGTAATGCAAATATGGTAGTGAGTTATTTCTGGAGATATCGGCCATGAAGCCCACCATGTACTACCATGATTAAGCAGTGCAAGTTGGCCTTCCAAGATGCATGGACAGGTGTAACATCACACACGAGTAGAAAGAAACATGTTCTCATATAACTTTAGACTGTAGGCAAAGGCCAAGAAGAGCAATACCGTACTATAGGGTGAGGCGTGTTGAAGCAACAGTCACTGAAATTGTCAGGGAAGGGGAAAGAATCCGAGGGCGGGGAATAAGAAAATGGTAATGTTTCAACCACAGGCTGTGATGAGAGGAATCAGCGGGGAGGGGGGGGAGGATGAGGGAATCAAGTGGGGAGAGGTGGGGGGGGTGGGGGGGGGGGGGGGGGGGGGGGGATATGAGGGGAATCAGGGGGAGAAGTGAGGAGAAGCAGGCTTTGGAGGGCATGTGAGGAGAAGCACATTGAGATCGCTTCCAGCGTTGGGGCGACGGCAGGGAAGGTAACAAGAGAGAATAGTAGAGCAGGGAGGCCTGCGGAGGGCACAGTGAGGAGGGGAAATGAGGGGAAGCAGGGGGGGGGAATGAAGAGAGGCAGGAGGGGGCGGGGGATAAGTGAGGAGAAGCAAGGAAGGGTTTAGGGAGGATGCAGGGAGGGGAGATGGGGAAATATGCAGTGGATATGGGGAAGCAGGAAGGGGAGAGAGGTATGCAGGGCGGGAAGATGAGGATGCAGGGAAAGGAAGGGAAGAGGGGTTGAGAAGATGGGGAGGAGGGAGGTTAGGGAGGGAAGGGCGAGAAGGGAGAGAAGGGAGAGAAGGGAGGGACGGGAGGGAAGGGAGAGAAGGGAGGTTAGGGAGGGAAGGCAGGGAAGGGAGGGAAGGAGGGAAGCGAGGGACGGGAGAGAACGGAGGGAAAGGAGGGAAAGGAGGGAGGGGAGGGAAGGGAGAGAAGGGAGAGAAGGGAGGGAAGGGAGGGAAAGAGGGAAGGGGGACAGGGAGGGAAGGGAGAGACGGGAGGGAAGGGAGGGATTGATGGGAAAGGGGGGAAGGGATGGATGGAGGGAAGGGAGGGAAGGCAGGGAAGGGAGAGTTGAAGAGGGAGGTAGCTTCCATGGTGAAGACGGAAGTGGAGTTTGAAAGGCGGGAAAGGGGGATTGGGAGGCAAAAAGGGGAGATTGGGAGGCAAGAAGGAAGGAAGGAAGGGAGGGAAGGGAGGGAAGGGAGGGAAGGGAGGGAAAAGAGGGAAGGGAGAGAAGGGAGAGAAGGGAGAGAAGGGAGAGAAGGGAGAGAAGGGAAATCGCGGGGAGGTAAGAGAGGGAAGGCTGCAAGGGTAGGGAAGAGAGCGAAGAAGGGAAGGGAGAGAAGGGAGGGAAGGGAGGGAAGGGAGGGAAGGGAGAGAAGGGCAGTGAAAGGGGGGTAGGTGAGGGAAGGGAGGGAAGGGAGGCAAGGGAGGGAGGGGACGGAAGGGACTGAAGGGCGGGAAGGGAGAGAAGGGCGGGAAGGAAGGGAAGGGCGGGAAGGGAGAGAAGGGCGGGAAGGGAGAGAAGGGAGGGAAGGAAGGGAAGGGCGGGAAGGGAGAGAAGGGCGGGAAGGGAGAGAAGGGCGGGAAGGGAGAGAAGGGCGGGAAGGGAGAGAAGGGAGGGAAGGGAGAGAAGGGAGGGAAGGAAGGGAAGGGAGGGCAGGGAGCGCAGGGAGAGAAGGGAGGGACGGGAGGGACGGGAGGGACGGGAGGGACGGGAGGGACGGGAGGGAAGGGAAGGATGGGAGGGAAGAGATGAAAGGGAGGGAAGGCAGGGAAGGCAGGGAAGGCAGGGAAGGGAGAGAAGCGGAGATGCGGGTAGGGACGTGGCGGAATGGGGTTGGATGGGGAGATAATGGGGACATGGGGATGCAGAGAGGGGAGATGGGGATGCAGTGAGAGGAGGTGTGGATGCAGGGAGGTGGTAAGGGGAGAAGGGGAGGTTTGAAGGGGAGAATGGGAGGCGGTAATGGGAGATCGGGAGGCCGTAAATTGGGAGAGGGCAGCGGACTAAAGATATTGGGAGGCGCACGAGGGCCCGCAGTGTGTGGCGCGGCCCGCGTGATCGCGGTGGCGTGAGGAGGTAGCGTGGGGCGGCGAGGCGCCGCTGCGAGCAGATTTGTAGCGCGACGCCGCGTGCGGATTTGCGGATAGGTGGCGCCGCGAGCGGATTTGCATCGATGCGACTCCGCGTGCGGATTTGGTGGTACGATACGCTGCGCGGGGATTTGCAGCGAGGCGACGCCGCGAGCAGGGATTCACGACGAGGCGACACCGCGTGCGGATTTGCGTCGATGCGACGCCGCAAGCGTATTTGCGGCGATGCGACGCCGCAAGCGGATTTGCGGCGATGCGACGCCGCAAGCGGATTTGCGGCAATGCGACGCCGCGAGCGGATTTGTGGCGAGGCGACGCCACGACGGGCTTTGAGGCGAGCCTACGAGGCAGCAAGTTGCGGTGGGGCGAGGACGCTACTAGGGGCTCGATGCAAAGGCGATTTGCGGCGGCTGGATTACGCAACAGAGATCGACTCTAGGCTGCGTGGGGAGGCAACGGGATTTCTACGTACAGTGCGGTGAAGCTACTACACGGCGACGCAGCGGCGACGGAAGAATGAATGCGTATTCGGCTAACGCTGGCGCCGGCGCAACCTTCGGTGTACGACGTAACTCTAAGCTCCGAATTTCAACGGTGTGGGTAGGACTGTTCTAGTAGCGCACGCTAAGAACGCTACGTGAGTGAGCTCCCGCAGGGGAAACGAATTACTAGTATACTTTTGCCATCTAAACTCTTTTGACGAGAAACGAGGGGCTTGTAATTCGGTAATTCGGTAACCACCATGTACCTTTTATAAACTTTTGGCACTGGCCCTACCAAATGTATTCCGCTGCTTTAACGATCTAGGCCCTCCCGAATTGGTTACGACCGCGGTGTTCAGCATTGTACAATCTCATTATATAGTGCATTTTCACCTCCAAAAAAAAAAGATCGATCTGAAATCTAGCTAGATTCTGCAGTTGCTTTCTGTGGTAATGTAAGAAGGCATTCCGAGTAGTTACTAACCAGCAACCTCATGACAAGCTACAAGGTTGCGACCTTATAACCAGAACACCGGTTTAGAAGAATCTACCCTAACTAAATACACCAATCTCTTCAATTCACCACTATCTTCTATCCGGGCGATGACGGTATAACGGCACTTCTGCCAGCATCCAGTATCCATGCGCGCTCTGTCATTCCGATTGGCTGTGCAGCAGGCGGTGGTCCGCCCCGCCACCAGATTCTCCACCACCTCCCGCAAGTTGGTGCTCAAGTGCACGGTGGACTCATATTTGGGTTCAGCTTGACGACTCATTGGCCTAGGCTTTAATCCCATAAAGTCATTCCGACTGGCTGTACAGCAGGCGGTGGTCTGCCACCAGATCCTCCACCACCTCCCTCACCTTGGTGCTCCAGTCAGCGGCATTATTTTCTGCATTCACCCCCTCAGTCAGTCCAACTGGCTCAGTCCGATTGGCTCAGTCACTCCGACTGGCTGTACAGCAGGCGGTGGTCAGCCACCAGATCCTCCACCACCTCCCTTACTGGCCTGGCTGCTGACTTGGGCACCATGGCTGCATACACCATGGGCGGGATGTCTGCGGGGGCAAGGAGATGGGGAACAAGAGAGAAGGGAGATGGCATGCTTAACCACCGTCTCCCCCAATGGCCTGGCTGCTGACTTTGGCACCATGGCTGCATACACCATGGTCCATGGGCGGTATGTCAGCGGGGGCAGGGGGAAGGAGGAGAGAAGAGGAGAGAATGATTGCTTAATCACCACCTCCTTCACTGGCCTGGCTGCCGACTTGGGCACCATGGCTGCGTACACCATGGGGGGGATGTCTGGGAGGGCATGGGAGGAAAGGAGAAGAGGGAACAGGGTGTTCACAGGCTTGACCACCTCGTCCTTGGTACATGTGGAAGTGCTGAGCAGCATTGGCTGCATACTCCATGCGGGGAATGTCTGGGGGGGCATGGGAGGAAAGGAGCAACAGAAAAAGGTGTTCCCAGGCTCAACCGTGCCTCGTCCCTGGCACATGTGGAGTGCTGAGCAGCATGGCTGCGTACTCCAGGGGGGAATGTATGGCGACTGGGGGCATGGGAGCAGAGCAGGGGATGGGAGGCTTGGAGGTCGGAATGAGATGAGAGTGAGTGTAGACGCCCAAAGAGTTGCTTGTGGTTGTTGTTGATGAGTCGAAGCAGCACGGGCACATAGACCATGCACTGCCCGACAGACAGCCATCTCTGCCTGTCGGCTCTCACTGCCTGACAGCCGTCACACGATGAACCCAATCAGATGCTTGATGTAAAACAAGACACTCGCCATACCCAGGCTGCTCATGATCTCCACCAGGTCCATGATCTCAATGATAACACCCTCTCGCCCGCACCTCCTCTCCCATTCGAAGAGAGAGAGAGCAGACATGACCGGCCCTCACTGCTTACCCAGGCTGCTGATGATCTCCACCAGGTCCATGATCTCAATGCCTGACAGCCCTGACACGATGCACACCCTCTCGCCCACGTTGTTCGGCCACACGCTGCTGCTGTCAGATGCCTGTTCTCACGATGTGCGGAGGGGACAAATGCAGGAGTAATGGGGACGAATGATGACTAGTGAGTGCCTTGGCTGCAAGATTTCTGTCCCAACACAGCAGCTCACAGCAGGCAGCAGCACACAGCCGGCAGAGCACAGCAGGCAGCGCACCTGTGGTTGCGGGGGCAGCGGCTACAGATGGCGCACGCACGGAGGGGAAGGGCTGGGCGGCCCTCTCCATGGCGTCCCACAGAGTGATATCCGCCACTGACTCGTCTGCTGATAGCAGCTGATGGGGACGGGCAAGACGGTTGGGTGCGGTTGGGTGCGATTCAGAAGGGTTGATGGGGACGCAAGGACAGACAGAGGGTAAAGAGGGAGGGGCTGGCCTCTCCGTGGCGTCCCACAGAGTGACGTCCGCCACTGAGCCGTCTGCTCCAGCAGCTGATGGGGAGGAGCAATACGGTTCGGTGCGGTACAGAAGGGTTCGTCAGGATAGTGTGAGTGAGAAAGGGTATTCCACAGAGTGACGTCTGCCACTGATTCGTCTGCTGATAACAGCTGATGGGGAGGGAGGGGCGAGGCGGTTGGGTACGGTTTAGAAGGGTTGATGAGAAGGGTTGGGGGAAGCGAGAAGAGTGGGATGTGGCGCACAGTTGAGAGGGCAAGATGGCTGGGAGCAGAACGGGAGCTGTGAGGCTATCGTCTTCAACCGATAGTAGACAAGGCATGCCTACATAAGGTGGCCCAACGCACTGTGCCTACCAGAGAGTAAGTGGAGGTGGAAAGGGGTGGGAGGGAAGGAAAGGTGGGACGGAGGGATCGGGGAGAAAATTGGGAAATCAGGAATCTAAGACGTTTTATATGTCGTTCCATATATTTGTCGAACCAGCCAGATATGCTTCTGCCTTGAGGCTCGACGGGGCAGAAAGGAGTAGATGGGAATGGGGAGGGTGGGTAGTGGGGTGTGGGAGGGCAGCGGGTGTGGCTTATAGAGAAGTTTGGAGTGCAGAAAGCAAGTGTGAGGCCAGCTGGTATAGTTTATCTATAGGGCTTTTGTAATACTTTCATGTCATCTGCGAATCACGCTGTCGGTGACACGAACTGCCGTGTGACACCAGCTTCTGTGTGCCATTTCCACTCAGTGAGTGACAAAGTGAGTGACACAAACAGTGGGAGTGGGCGACACAAAGTGTGGGTGACACAATCAGGGGATGGCGCAGCTAGTGGAGCCACAAAGCTAGGAACAAACAGGGAACGATGCCAAAGAGGAGCAGCAGCGGGAAGAAGCAATGGGGAGCAGCACAGCAGAGCAGAAGAGGAGCGTACCGAAATGAAGCTGGCCTCTGCTTCAGCCAGCGCTGCTCGAAGGGGTGTGAGAAGGAAGAGAGGGGGGAGAGAGGAGAGGGGAGAGAGGAGAGAGGAGAGGGGAGAGGGGAGAGGAGAGGGGAGAGGGGAGAGGAGGGTAGAAGAGGAGCGTACCGAGATGAAGCTGGCCTCTGCTTCAGCCAGCGCTGCTCGAACCTGCCGTGCGGCAAGGGGGGTCTCGCGGAGGGGAGCAGGGAGCGGGGAAGGAGGGAGAGCAGGGAGCGGGGAAGGAGGGAGAGCAGGGAGCGGGGAAGGAGGGAGAGCAGGGAGCGGGGAAGGAGGGAGAGCAGGGAGCGGGGAAGGAGGGAGAGCAGGGAGCGGGGAAGGAGGGAGAGCAGGGAGCGGGGAAGGAGGGAGAGCAGGGAGCGGGGAAGGAGGGAGAGCAGGGAGCGGGGAAGGAGGGAGAGCAGGGAGCGGGGAAGGAGGGAGAGCAGGGAGCGGGGAAGGAGGGAGAGCAGGGAGCGGGGAAGGAGGGAGAGCAGGGAGCGGGGAAGGAGGGAGAGCAGGGAGCGGGGAAGGAGGGAGAGCAGGGAGCGGGGAAGGAGGGAGAGCAGGGAGCGGGGAAGGAGGGAGAGCAGGGAGCGGGGAAGGAGGGAGAGCAGGGAGCGGGGAAGGAGGGAGAGCAGGGAGCGGGGAAGGAGGGAGAGCAGGGAGCGGGGAAGGAGGGAGAGCAGGGAGCGGGGAAGGAGGGAGAGCAGGGAGCGGGGAAGGAGGGAGAGCAGGGAGCGGGGAAGGAGGGAGAGCAGGGAGCGGGGAAGGAGGGAGAGCAGGGAGCGGGGAAGGAGGGAGAGCAGGGAGCGGGGAAGGAGGGAGAGCAGGGAGCGGGGAAGGAGGGAGAGCAGGGAGCGGGGAAGGAGGGAGAGCAGGGAGCGGGGAAGGAGGGAGAGCAGGGAGCGGGGAAGGAGGGAGAGCAGGGAGCGGGGAAGGAGGGAGAGCAGGGAGCGGGGAAGGAGGGAGAGCAGGGAGCGGGGAAGGAGGGAGAGCAGGGAGCGGGGAAGGAGGGAGAGCAGGGAGCGGGGAAGGAGGGGAGCAGGGAGCGGGGAAGGAGGGAGAGCAGGGAGCGGGGAAGGAGGGAGAGCAGGGAGCGGGGAAGGAGGGAGAGCAGGGAGCGGGGAAGGAGGGAGAACAGGGAGCGGGGAAGGAGGGAGAGCAGGGAGCGGGGAAGGAGGGAGAGCAGGGAGCGGGGAAGGAGGGAGAGCAGGGAGCGGGGAAGGAGGGAGAGCAGGGAGCAGAGAGGCAAGAGGGGGGAGGGGTGATAGGGGACGGTGAGTGCAGATAAATGGATATGGGGAAGAGGCAGTGCATCTATGAGGGTGCGTTGTGTTGACTGTGTTGTGCACACTAACTGTGACACGGAGGGAGACATGCAGCAGGAGGGAGAGAAACATGGAGAGGATGAGATTCGTGGTTGGAAGGACAGGCGTGGAGAAGGATGAAGAGGCTTGAGGAGGGGTGATGAGGGAGGGGCAGGGGGGAGGGGCAATGGTGGGGAGGGGCAGAGGGAGGGTTTAGAGGGGAGAAGGGAGAGGGGAGAGGGGAGAGGGGAAATTGCACACAAAGGGATATGGAGAAAGAGGAACGGAATTGGGATCAAAACTGAGTGGAGAGTGTGATTTTCCCAAAAGTGATTCAACTCGCAGGGATGCGTGAAACGAGTCGGTAAGAGTGCAGCAAGAGGACAGAAGGTCGTGCAGCAAGAGGACAGAAGGTAGTGCAGCAAGAGGACAGAAGGTAGTGCAGCAAGAGGACAGAAGGTAGTGCAGCAAAGATGGAGCGAAATAAATTGGGGAAAGGGAAGGAAACGTGAAGCGCGAGGGGATGGGCAGGTGAAGGAGCACACATATGCACTTACATACTCACATACAGAGACAATGACACTCCTCACACATGCAATGCACCCACACACATGCACACACTCACATGCACACACACACACGCACACACACACACACACACACACGCACACACACCTTCTCAATCTCGTCAGGTGTCAAGCCAAGCAGCAACAACGCCTGCAATCACAGGAGGGGGTTGAAACAGGCGGACATGGAAAGGTGCACCATAGCACACCACAGCACGCCACAGAGAGATTGGTGAGAACACTTACGACGGATAATGCACTTGTGGATCGTGGCGGCACCTCACCTCCCACAGTGGCGGCACCTCACCTCCCACAGGGGCGGCAGGGCCATCATTAGGAACCCTTGGCTTCATATCTCTTAGGAACCCTTGGCTTCATATCTCTTAGGAACCCTTGGCTTCATATCTCTTAGGAACCCTTGGCTTCATATCTCTTAGGAACCCTTGGCTTCATATCTCTTAGGAACCCTTGGCTTCATATCTCTTAGGAACCCTTGGCTTCATATCTCTTAGGAACCCTTGGCTTCATATCTCTTAGGAACCCTTGGCTTCATATCTCTTAGGAACCCTTGGCTTCATATCTCTTAGGAACCCTTGGCTTCATATCTCTTAGGAACCCTTGGCTTCATATCTCTTTCATATCTCTTAGGAACCCTTGGCTTCATATCTCTTAGGAACCCTTGGCTTCATATCTCTTAGGAACCCTTGGCTTCATATCTCTTAGGAACCCTTGGCTTCATATCTCTTAGGAACCCTTGGCTTCATATCTCTTAGGAACCCTTGGCTTCATATCTCTTAGGAACCCTTGGCTTCATATCTCTTAGGAACCCTTGGCTTCATATCTCTTAGGAACCCTTGGCTTCATATCTCTTAGGAACCCTTGGCTTCATATCTCTTAGGAACCCTTGGCTTCATATCTCTTAGGAACCCTTGGCTTCATATCTCTTAGGAACCCTTGGCTTCATATCTCTTAGGAACCCTTGGCTTCATATCTCTTAGGAACCCTTGGCTTCATATCTCTTAGGAACCCTTGGCTTCATATCTCTTAGGAACCCTTGGCTTCATATCTCTTAGGAACCCTTGGCTTCATATCTCTTAGGAAACCCTTGGCTTCATATCTCTTAGGAACGCTTGGCTTCATAACTCTTGGGAACCCTTGGCTTCATATTTCTTAGGAACCCTTGGCTTCATATCTCTTAGGAACCTTTGGCTTCATATCTCTTAGGAACCTTTGGCTTCATATCTCTTAGGAACCCTTGGCTTCATATCTCTTGGGAACCCTTGGCTTCAGATCTCTTAGGAACCCTTGGCTTCATATCTCTTAGGAACCCTTGGCTTCATATCTCTTAGGAACCTTTGGCTTCATATCTCTTAGGAACCCTTGGCTTCATATCTCTTAGGAACCCTTGGCTTCATACTCTTAGGAACCCTTGGCTTCATATCTCTTAGGAACCCTTGGCTTCATATCTCTTAGGAACCCTTGGCTTCATATCTCTTAGGAACCCTTGGCTTCATATCTCTTAGGAACCCTTGGCTTCATATCTCTTAGGAACCCTTGGCTTCATTCATATCTCTTAGGAACCCTTGGCTTCATATCTCTTAGGAACCCTTGGCTTCATATCTCTTAGGAACCCTTGGCTTCATATCTCTTAGGAACCCTTGGCTTCATATCTCTTAGGAACCCTTGGCTTCATATCTCTTAGGAACCCTTGGCTTCATATCTCTTAGGAACCCTTGGCTTCATATCTCTTAGGAACCCTTGGCTTCATATCTCTTAGGAACCCTTGGCTTCATATCTCTTAGGAACCCTTGGCTTCATATCTCTTAGGAACCCTTGGCTTCATATCTCTTAGGAACCCTTGGCTTCATATCTCTTGGGAACCCTTGGCTTCATATCTCTTAGGAACCCTTGGCTTCATATCTCTTAGGAACCCTTGGCTTCATATCTCTTAGGAACCCTTGGCTTCATATCTCTTAGGAACCCTTGGCTTCATATCTCTTAGGAACCCTTGGCTTCATATCTCTTAGGAACCCTTGGCTTCATATCTCTTAGGAACCCTTGGCTTCATATCGCCCCCCTCCTGTACCACGACACCATCATCTCCGAGTGCCCACCCCGTCGAGGGCATAATCATCGCACCCCGACCACAGTCTCTCCCGTCGCCCGGCCTCCGCCCTGCGGGCCACATTCCCTTCTCTCCACCCCCCCTTCTCCTTATCTCTACTCCACAGCCCCCACATCTCCTTATCTCTAGTCCACAGCCCCCACATCTCCTCCCCAACCCTCCTCATCGCCAGTCCGCATTTCCCGCATCTCCCCTCCTCCCCCGTTCAGCTCCAGACCCACATTCTCACCCACCCCCTACACCCCTCCCCGCCCCCTGCCACCCCCCACCCCCCGCCCCCCCCTCCCCCCCCCCCCCACCCCTACCTCAGGCCCAAACGCCTCTGCGTCGTCAGTGAGAGGCACGATGCCTTCGACCTCCTCATCGCTGTACCCCAGCGGCTCCTCCCCTGATACTGCCAGCCCCCACGGCTGCCCCCCGCCCTCGCCACTGCCGCTGCCTGCGACACACCATGAAGAAGGAGGAGAGGGGGGGGGGGGGGGGGGGGGAGGGGGGGTATTGAGGGCGTGAATCAGCAGCACGGTCTGGCTGGCCCTTCGTTGCCCTCCCTCTCCAGCAGAGATTCTCCCCGGCGCTGCCACTCTCGACGAGAAATAAGAGTTGCTTTGAGACGTCTCAGAACAACACTCATTTCTCGTCGTCTGCCTGCCTGGCCCTCCCTTCCTTTCCTTCACCAGCGGAGATCCCCCCCCCACACTGCCACTCCCTACTGCTTGCCCCAGCTACGTTGGAGTTGCTTTTGAGAACTCTATAAGCTGCTTCACCAGCGGAGATTCTCCCCCACGCTACCACTCCCTACTGCTTGCCCCAGCTACGTTGGAGTTGCTTTTGAGAACTCTATAAGCTGCTTCACCAGCGGAGATTCTCCCCCCACGCGACGCTGCCACTCTCTACTCTCACCAATCGACAGCTGCCGCCCAGCTGTTGACTGCTGCCAGTGGAACATGATTACGAACGGATAGGGCAGGACGGGGAGGGAGGGATGGAGAGGAGGGGTGAGGGGGAGGGAGGCGGGAAAAGCAGGCGGAAGCGAGACGAGGGGGGTGGTAGTTGAGAAACAAAAGCGTCAAATCATGCCATGCCCCGCCGTATACCGCCTCGCTACCCACTGGGTCAAAACGAGGGTGTTATTTGGGCGCGGCGGATGCCCTTCAGGACTAGCCCACGGGCAGATATTTTTTTTAGAATTCTCAAAAAATCCCCACGGGCGGTACTTGCCGCCCTTCCCATCGCTGTGCTTCAACGGCTTCTCTGACACAAGACACGTGTCCACCCTGCTGTTGTCGCCAAAGTGCTGCCTGTGACTTGGGGATGAGGAGAAAGAGACTGCCTCCTCCGTCCGACCGCCCGTCCGACCGCCTGTCCGTCCATCTGTGCTTCCATGCACCCTGCCAACACCCTCCTACTATCTGTCCGCCCGTATCACCTTGCACCGCGTCCCACAGCGACGTGCGCGCCACCACGGCGCCGCCTCGCCACGCTGACCGACCCACGCCGCGGCCTGGCACACCTCGCGATGGCCGTCCGATCGGCATGGACGACCGAATCGACGGCACACGGGGCGATGGCAATGGTGCTGGCGAGGCGACGCGTTGGTGCAGCGGATGCAGCAGCGATGCGGAGCAGCCGTAGTGAAGCAGAGCCATGGCGCGAATGCACGGGAGGAGGTGAGGATCGACGGGATCGACGGGATCGGTGATGCGAGGTCGCGGATGGACGAACGGCCACAACGCACCAGGCGGCAAATGGGAGCGAGTGGGTTCGTGGGGTTGGGAGCGCGTTCGGCGCAGGAACGTCAAGCGAAAGCGGCTAGGGATTGGAGCAACAGCAAGCTTCTGCACTCGCTTTTTTCCTTTCTTTCTTGTCGTTTTACGTCAGTTTTTGCGTGTAACAGCCGCGGAAGTAGAACGCCTAGGTGGGTAGGCGGTGCTACTGCGGATGAAGTGACGCGAAGGGAAGGGAGATTGAGCGCAGAACACGGAACCCCCACAGACGGAGAGGTAGAAGTTGTGAAGAGCAACTCGAGAGGGCGGAAAGTGACCCGCTTGTGGTGGCGATTTTGTGGAAGGCGACTTGTGAAAGTGACTCGAGCGTATCATATTCGACTCCAACAATTTCACAAATAAATTAGTCCTTAGTCAAGAAACGTAAAGATTGTATAGCCATATTTTACAGGTAATTAAATTGTACACCGTAGTAACGGTACAGAGTGCGCAAGTGTATATCGCATCACTGCTCATTCTTACCAACGGCCTGACCAGGACAGCGTAGCGCCACTGCTCACCCGGAGGCCAGAACGCCATTTTCAACTTCCCGCCACTCGCGCCATCATGGCTCCTGCCGCCGCCATTGCTCCCTCGCCCGCCTTCCGCCTCTCCGCCATCGCTTCTCTTTCCGCGCGGTTCCGCGCCTCTTCCCCACTTGCCGCCATCCCCGCTGCAAGCTCCGCTGGAGTTCAGCGCCGCAATGCCGCAAAGAGCGTTTTCGCAACGGTAGGCGACGCCGCGTCGCCAATGGAAGTGCGACGAGGAGGCCCTCCGTCGTCGCCGTCGTTGTCGTCAGCGAGCGACGCGCGTCGCATCCCGCGGGGAATTGCGGCTCGTGCCGCACAGCACTCCGTCGTCGCGGCGACGGCGGCGGCGGGGGATGCGGCGAGCCTCCCCGAGGCGCTGCTGTTCGACTGCGACGGCGTGCTGGTTGACACGGAGAGGGACGGCCATCGCGTGTCGTTCAACCAGGCGTTCGAGGAGGTGAGGCGGTGGCATGGGGGCGAGGGGAGTGGGGGTGCAGGGGAAGGGGGAGAGGAGAGAGGAGCGGTATGTGTGCGCTGCTGTTCGACTGCGACGGCGTGCTGGTTGACACGGAGAGGGACGGCCATCGCGTGTCGTTCAACCAGGCGTTCGAGGAGGTGAGGCGGTGGCATGGGGGAGGGAGAGGGTAGGGGGAGAGGGAATGGGGAGATACATGTGTGCTGTGACTGACTGTCGGTCCGTTTTTGAGTCGACTCAAAAATCACCTCGAGAGGGCAGGGGGAGGGGGAATGGGGAGATACGTGTGTTGTGTGACTGTCGGTCGGTGCTGGTGCACACGGAGAGGGACGACCACCGCGTGTCGTTCAACATCAACTAGGCGTTTGAAGAGGTGAGAGGGTTGCGCGGGGCAAGGGAAAGGTAGGGGAGGTGGAGGGGGGGGAAGAGGCATGTGCTGCGCTGTGTGTGACACGGAGAGGGACGACCACCGCGTGTCGTTCCACATCAACTAGGCGTTTGAAGAGGTGAGGTGAGAGGGTTGCGCGGGGCAAGAGGAGGGGAGGGAGGGGAAGGGGGAAATATGCGAGCTGTGTGGTTGTCGTTAAGTGCTGGTGGACGCAGAGAGGGACGACCACCGCGGGTCGTTCAACCAGGCGTTTGAAGGGGTGCGACTGTGTTACTACCAGCTAGCACAACCAGGCGATACCTGGCGGTGAGCTGGTGACTAGGTTCGGGCCGTGCACATGGCTTGGAAATGCCATCGCTATGGCTAGCTACCTGCTACTCACTCTCTCTTTCTGCTTCACCCCCCCTCGCCTGCAATGCAACGGGCGTACTCCACATGCACCACGAGCAGCACGAGCACCACCTGGGTCCATCCATTCAATACCTACAACAATGTGCACTAGGCCCAGGAAATGGGAGCGAGCGGGCGTGAGCCGTTTGCTCCGTGGGGAGCTGCTCTCCGTGGGGAGCTGCTCTCCGTGGGGAGCTGCTCTCCGTGGGGAGCTGCTCTCCGTGGGGAGCTGCTCTCCGTGGGGAGCTGCTCTCCGTGGGGAGCTGCTCTCCGTGGGGAGCTGCTCTCCGTGGGGAGCTGCTCTCCGTGGGGAGCTGCTCTCCGTGGGGAGCTGCTCTCCGTGGGGAGCTGCTCTCCGTGGGGAGCTGCTCTCCATGGGGAGCTGCTCTCCGTGCGGAGCTGCTCTCCGTGGGGAGGTGCTCTGCTCTCCGTGGGGAGGTGCTCTCCGTGGGGAGGTGCTCTCCGTGGGGAGGTGCTGAGGCTTGAGCAACTGCCAGCCAGCCCATGTCTCTCCTCATCCTCATCCTCTGTTCCCGCGATGCCGCACGATGCCCCTCATTCCAATCCCTCCCTGTCGCAGAAAGGGCTGGGAGTGACGTGGGACGTGCCGCTGTATGGCGAGCTGCTCAATGCTGCTCTCTCCTCATTCTCTCTCCCCTCTGCCACGCTGCTCTGCTCTGCTCTGCTGTGCTCTGCTCTGCTGTGCTCTGCTCTGCTCTGCTCTGCTGTGCTGCGCTGGCTCGTGCTCGCAGAAAGGGCTGGGAGTGACGTGGGACGTGCCACTCTATGGCGAGCTGCTCAAGATTGGAGGCGGCAAGGAGCGGTATGCACTGCAACATGCATGCACGCACACTTCCTCGCATTCCATAGATCCCTGATTTGACATTCTTCTTTCATGCTTACTATACACCCTCTCATGCGTTTGTCAGCACATCTTTGAAGCTCTTTGCTGACTCCCCTGCAAGGGCAATCAGTGGCAGAAACGAGCGGTCGAAACTGGCTGCTGGCACTCACATCACACATCCCTCACGTTCTCCTGCCGCGCTTTCCTTTCCTCCGTTCTTCGTCCGACGCCGGGCCAAATCTTCGCTCCTCTCTTTCCTCCCCTTTCACCCATCTCTCCCCCCCCTCTCATCCTGCCCAGAATGACCCACTACTTGAATCAAGTGGGCTGGCCGGCCCCAGGCAGCCCCCACGGACCCCGCAGAGCAAGCAGCCTTCGTGGCGGGGCTGCACAAAAGCAAGACAGCACATTTCAATGCCCACTTGCATCCCCCTTTCCCCCCCCCCTATCTTCCATCTCACCCTCGCTTCCCTTCCCAGAATGACCCACTACTTCAATCAAGTGGGCTGGCCACAAGCAGCGCCCATCGACCCTTCAGAGCGAGCAGCTTTCGTGGCAGGGCTCCACAAGAGCAAGACGGCACTCTTCATGCAGCTTGTGGAAACGGGTGCTTTGCCCCTGCGACCAGGCGTGGCACGGTGAGTGATAGTAGTGACTGTAACTGTGTGACTGTGTGTGACTGTGACTCTGTGGCCATGTGCCTGCATAAGAGCAAGACAGCGCTCTTCATGCAGCTCGTGGAGACGGGTGCCCTGCCCCTGCGACCGGGCGTTGCACGGTAAGTCATAGTGACTGTGGCGTGATTGTACGTGCAGCGCAGGTACTGTGTGATTGTGTTTCTGTTGGCCGATGGCTGTGTGACTGTGTGGCTGTGCAAGACGGCGCTCTTCATGCAGCTCGTGGAGACGGGTGCGCTGCCGCTGCGACCAGGCGTGGCACGGTGAGTCTGTGTGGCTGTGACTGTGATTCTATGACTGTGATTCTATGACTGTGATTCTATGACTGTGATTCTATGACTGTGATTCTATGACTGTGTGACTGTGATTCTATGACTGTGATTCTATGACTGTGATTCTATGATTGTGTGACTGTGATTCTATGACTGTGATTCTATGACTGTGATTCTATGACTGTGTGACTGTGATTCTATGACTGTGATTCTATGACTGTGATTCTATGACTGTGTGACTGTTTCGTGTGACTCTGCAAGTCGCTTCTCTTCACGCAGCTCGTGGAAACCGATGCGCTGCCGCTGCTGCGACCAGGCGTGGCACGGTGAGTCCAAGGAACTGTGATTGACTTTTGAGTAGTGTGTACCTGTGTTTGTACCCCCCTCAAAAGTCAACTCGGTGAGTGAAAGGAACTGTGATTGACTTTTGAGTAGTGTGTACCTGTGTTTGTACCCCCCTCAAAAGTCAACTCGGTGAGTGAAAGGAACTGTGATTGACTTTTGAGTAGTGTGTACCTGTGTTTGTACCCCCCTCAAAAGTCAACTCGGTGAGTGAAAGGAACTGTGATTGACTTTTGAGTAGTGTGTACCTGTGTTTGTACCCCCCTCAAAAGTCAACTCGGTGAGTGAAAGGAACTGTGATTGACTTTTGAGTAGTGTGTACCTGTGTTTGTACCACCCTCAAAAGTCAACTCGGTGAGTGAAAGGAACTGTGATTGACTTTTGAGTAGTGTGTACCTGTGTTTGTACCCCCCTCAAAAGTCAACTCGGTGAGTGAAAGGAACTGTGATTGACTTTTGAGTAGTGTGTACCTGTGTTTGTACCCCCCTCAAAAGTCAACTCGGTGAGTGAAAGGAACTGTGATTGACTTTTGAGTAGTGTGTACCTGTGTTTGTACCCCCCTCAAAAGTCAACTCGGTGAGTGAAAGGAACTGTGATTGACTTTTGAGTAGTGTGTACCTGTGTTTGTACCCCCCTCAAAAGTCAACTCGGTGAGTGAAAGGAACTGTGATTGACTTTTGAGTAGTGTGTACCTGTGTTTGTACCCCCCTCAAAAGTCAACTCGGTGAGTGAAAGGAACTGTGATTGACTTTTGAGTAGTGTGTACCTGTGTTTGTACCCCCCTCAAAAGTCAACTCGGTGAGTGAAAGGAACTGTGATTGACTTTTGAGTAGTGTGTACCTGTGTTTGTACCCCCCTCAAAAGTCAACTCGGTGAGTGAAAGGAACTGTGATTGACTTTTGAGTAGTGTGTACCTGTGTTTGTACCCCCCTCAAAAGTCAACTCGGTGAGTGAAAGGAACTGTGATTGACTTTTGAGTAGTGTGTACCTGTGTTTGTACCCCCCTCAAAAGTCAACTCGGTGAGTGAAAGGAACTGTGATTGACTTTTGAGTAGTGTGTACCTGTGTTTGTACCCCCCTCAAAAGTCAACTCGGTGAGTGAAAGCAACTGTGATTGACTTTTGAGTAGTGTGTACCTGTGTTTGTACCCCCCTCAAAAGTCAACTCGGTGAGTCCAAGGAACTGTGATTGACTTTTGAGTAGTGTGTACCTGTGTTTGTACCCCCCTCAAAAGTCAACTCGGTGAGTGAAAGGAACTGTGATTGACTTTTGAGTAGTGTGTACCTGTGTTTGTACCCCCCTCAAAAGTCAACTCGGTGAGTGAAAGGAACTGTGATTGACTTTTGAGTAGTGTGTACCTGTGTTTGTACCCCCCTCAAAAGTCAACTCGGTGAGTGAAAGGAACTGTGATTGACTTTTGAGTAGTGTGTACCTGTGTTTGTACCCCCCTCAAAAGTCAACTCGGTGAGTCCAAGGAACTGTGATTGACTTTTGAGTAGTGTGTACCTGTGTTTGTACCCCCCTCAAAAGTCAACTCGGTGAGTGAAAGGAACTGTGATTGACTTTTGAGTAGTGTGTACCTGTGTTTGTACCACCCTCAAAAGTCAACTCGGTGAGTGAAAGGAACTGTGATTGACTTTTGAGTAGTGTGTACCTGTGTTTGTACCCCCCTCAAAAGTCAACTCGGTGAGTGAAAGGAACTGTGATTGACTTTTGAGTAGTGTGTACCTGTGTTTGTACCCCCCTCAAAAGTCAACTCGGTGAGTCCAAGGAACTGTGATTGACTTTTGAGTAGTGTGTACCTGTGTTTGTACCCCCCTCAAAAGTCAACTCGGTGAGTGAAAGGAACTGTGATTGACTTTTGAGTAGTGTGTACCTGTGTTTGTACCACCCTCAAAAGTCAACTCGGTGAGTGAAAGGAACTGTGATTGACTTTTGAGTAGTGTGTACCTGTGTTTGTACCCCCCTCAAAAGTCAACTCGGTGAGTGAAAGGAACTGTGATTGACTTTTGAGTAGTGTGTACCTGTGTTTGTACCCCCCTCAAAAGTCAACTCGGTGAGTCCAAGGAACTGTGATTGACTTTTGAGTAGTGTGTACCTGTGTTTGTACCCCCCTCAAAAGTCAACTCGGTGAGTCCAAGGAACTGTGATTGACTTTTGAGTAGTGTGTACCTGTGTTTGTACCACCCTCAAAAGTCAACTCGGTGAGTGAAAGGAACTGTGATTGACTTTTGAGTAGTGTGTACCTGTGTTTGTACCCCCCTCAAAAGTCAACTCGGTGAGTGAAAGGAACTGTGATTGACTTTTGAGTAGTGTGTACCTGTGTTTGTACCCCCCTCAAAAGTCAACTCGGTGAGTCCAAGGAACTGTGATTGACTTTTGAGTAGTGTGTACCTGTGTTTGTACCCCCCTCAAAAGTCAACTCGGTGAGTCCAAGGAACTGTGATTGACTTTTGAGTAGTGTGTACCTGTGTTTGTACCACCCTCAAAAGTCAACTCGGTGAGTGAAAGGAACTGTGATTGACTTTTGAGTAGTGTGTACCTGTGTTTGTACCCCCCTCAAAAGTCAACTCGGTGAGTCCAAGGAACTGTGATTGACTTTTGAGTAGTGTGTACCTGTGTTTGTACCCCCCTCAAAAGTCAACTCGGTGAGTCCAAGGAACTGTGATTGACTTTTGAGTAGTGTGTACCTGTGTTTGTACCCCCCTCAAAAGTCAACTCGGTGAGTCCAAGGAACTGAGATTGACTTTTGAGTAGTGTGTACCTGTGTTTGTACCCCCCTCAAAAGTCAACTCGGTGAGTCCAAGGAACTGTGATTGTATGTGCAGTGGAGGTAGTGTGTACCTGTGTTTCTGTGCGCCTATGACTGTGCGACGGAGCAAGAGCAAGACGGCTCTCTTCTTGCAGCTCGTGGAGACGGGTGCTGTGCCGCTGCGACCAGGCATCGCACAGTGAGCGTGTGACTGTGACTTTGGGTGTGTTGCTGTATCGTTGTGACTCTATGACTTTACGACTCTGTGATCCAACAAGTTCCTTCTCTTCATGCAGCTCGTGGAGACGGGAGTGCTGCCCCTGCAGCCAGGCGTGGTGCGGTGAGTCGAAGTTACTTTGATTGTGTGACTGTGGTTCTATGACTGTGTGCAGGTGGCAGTGTGCAGGTGGCAGTGTGCAGGTGGCAGTGTGCAGGTGGCAGTGTGCAGGTGGCAGTGTGCAGGTGGCAGTGTGCAGGTGGCAGTGTGCAGGTGGCAGTGTGCAGGTGGCAGTGTGCAGGTGGCAGTGTGCAGGTGGCAGTGTGCAGGTGGCAGCGTGCAGGTGGCAGTGTGCAGGTGGCAGTGTGCAGGTGGCAGTGTGCAGGTGGCAGTGTGCAGGTGGCAGTGTGCAGGTGGCAGTGTGCAGGTGGCAGTGTGCAGGTGGCAGCGTGCAGCACATTCTGCCAACGAGCTGGGGCAATGGGGCGAAGCTGGTGGGGGCGATCGTGAGAGTCATTCTGGGCTGTTGAGCCTGCACTTACTGCACTTCATACCACTGCACTTCATACCACTGCACTTCATACCACCGCACTTCATACCACCGCACTTCATACCACTGCACTTCATACCACTGCACTTCATACCACCGCACTTCATACCACTGCACTTCATACCACTGCACTTCATACCACCGCACTTCATACCACTGCACTTCATACCACTGCACTTCATACCACTGCACTTCATACCACTGCACTTCATACCACTGCACTTCATACCACCGCACTTCATACCACTGCACTTCATACCACTGCACTTCATACCACTGCACTTCATACCACTGCACTTCATACCACTGCACTTCATACCACTGCACTTCATACCACTGCACTTCATACCACTGCACTTCATACCACTGCACTTCATACCACTGCACTTCATACCACTGCACTTCATACCACTGCACTTCATACCACTGCACTTCATACCACTGCACTTCATACCACTGCACTTCATACCAGTGCACTTCATACCACTGCACTTCATACCACTGCACTTCATACCACTGCACTTCATACCACTGCACTTCATACCACTGCACTTCATACCACTGCACTTCATACCACTGCACTTCATACCACTGCACTTCATACCACCGCACTTCATACCACTGCACTTCATACCACCGCACTTCATACCACTGCACTTCATACCACTGCACTTCATACCACTGCACTTCATACCACTGCACTTCATACCACTGCACTTCATACCACTGCACTTCATACCACTGCACTTCATACCACTGCACTTCATACCACTGCACTTCATACCACTGCACTTCATACCACTGCACTTCATACCACTGCACTTCATACCACTGCACTTCATACCACTGCACTTCATACCACTGCACTTCATACCACTGCACTTCATACCACTGCACTTCATACCACTGCACTTCATACCACTGCACTTCATACCACTGCACTTCATACCACTGCACTTCATACCACTGCACTTCATACCACTGCACTTCATACCACTGCACTTCATACCACTGCACTTCATACCACTGCACTTCATACCACTGCACTTCATACCACTGCACTTCATACCACTGCACTTCATACCACTGCACTTCATACCACTGCACTTCATACCACTGCACTTCATACCACTGCACTTCATACCACTGCACTTCATACCACTGCACTTCATACCACTGCACTTCATACCACTGCACTTCATACCACTGCACTTCATACCACTGCACTTCATACCACTGCACTTCATACCACTGCACTTCATACCACTGCACTTCATACCACTGCACTTCATACCACTGCACTTCATACCACTGCACTTCATACCACTGCACTTCATACCACTGCACTTCATACCACTGCACTTCATACCACTGCACTTCATACCACTGCACTTCATACCACTGCACTTCATACCACTGCACTTCATACCACTGCACTTCATACCACTGCACTTCATACCACTGCACTTCATACCACTGCACTTCATACCACTGCACTTCATACCACTGCACTTCATACCACTGCACTTCATACCACTGCACTTCATACCACTGCACTTCATACCACTGCACTTCATACCACTGCACTTCATACCACTGCACTTCATACCACTGCACTTCATACCACTGCACTTCATACCACTGCACTTCATACCATACCACTGCACTTCATACCACTGCACTTCATACCACTGCACTTCATACCACTGCACTTCATACCACTGCACTTCGTACCACTGCACTTCATACCACTGCACTTCATACCACTGCACTTCATACCACTGCACTTCATACCACTGCACTTCATACCACTGCACTTCATACCACTGCACTTCATACCACTGCACTTCATACCACTGCACTTCATACCACTGCACTTCATACACTGCACTTCATACCACCTGCACTTCATACCACCTGCACTTCATACCACTGCACTTCATACCACTGCACTTCATACCACTGCACTTCATACCACTGCACTTCATACCACTGCACTTCATACCACCGCACTTCATACCACTGCACTTCATACCACCGCACTTCATACCACTGCAAGCCAGAGCTGTGCGACCCCTCCCTCTACCCTCTTCCCCCCCAGCTGAGCTGATCGATGAGGCACTGGCAGCGGGTGTCCGGGTGGCAGTGTGCAGCACGTCCAATGAGAAGGCGGTGGGAGCGATTGTGAGAGTCATGCTGGGCTGTTGAGCGAGCTCTTACTTACTGCACCACATATCATTGCATCTCCTCCTCTCCTCTCTCTCCCCTCTCTCCTCCAGCCTCATTGACGAGGCACTGGCAGCGGGTGTCCGGGTGGCGGTGTGCAGCACGTCGAATGAGAAGGCGGTGGGGGCAATTGTGAGAGTCATGCTGGGGGAGGAGAGGGCGCAGCACATGCGGATATTCGCCGGGGATGTGGTTCCTAAGAAGAAACCCGATCCGGTGAGCAGAGCGCATTGAGTTGGATGTATGATGGAGACGGAGTGACGGACCAGGTGGGTCAGGGGGAGGAGAGGGCGCAGCACATGCGGATATTTGCTGGGGATGTGGTTCCTAAGAAGAAGCCCGACCCAGTGAGCAGAGTGCACACATGCAGAGGGCAGACAGTTGAAACTTGAATGTATAATATAGAGATGGGGAAGGTGGGGGTGGGCCAGGAGAGGGCGCAGCACATGCGGATATTCGCAGGGGACGTGGTTCCTAAGAAGAAGCCCGACCCGGTGAGCAGAGTGCACACATGCTGAGGTATCGCGTGTGTAGAAATGGATAAAGTGGGGCAGGGCGAGGAGAGGGGCTTCAGCATGCACATGCGGATATTCGCCCGGGATGTGGTTCCTAAGAAGAAGCCCGACCCGGTGAGCAGAGTGCATTCAGTTGAATTGAATGTGTCGAAACGAATAAGGTGGGGATGGGCGAGGAGAGGGCCAAACCAAAAACACATGCGGATAATTGCTGGGGATGTTGTCCCGAGGAAGAAACCCGACCTGGTGAGGAGAGTGCTTGCAGTTGAATCGAATGTATCATGTCGATATGGTTAGGGTCGGGCTGGGCAGGGAGGAGAGGAGCTTCAACAGGCAGGAACATGCGGATCTTCGCCAGGGATGGCATGTGGACGAAGGAACCTGGCCCGGTGGGCAGCGTGCTCACAAGCCAAGGGCAGATAGTTGAACCTTGAGTTGAGTGTGTCATTTAGAAATGGCGAAGGTGGGGATGGGCAAGGAGAGGGCACATATGCCCAGTATCGGGGTCAAGCACATGCGGATATGCGCTGGGGATGTGGTAGCCAAGAAGAAACCCGACCCGGTGGGCAGAGTGCACACATGCAGATGTATTTTGTAGTGATGGATAAGAGGGGACTGCGCGAGGTGAGAGGCAGTGACTTGTGAAGTTTTCATCCTATTGCAACTTCGTCAGGCATGTGGAGTGGATGTGGGCTGGCGATGTCGTACCAAATAAGAAACCCGATCTTGTGACGCATGGGCTAGCCAACCAGGAGGGGACCCTGTGTTGGATCCAAGAGAGGATAATGGTCGTGGCAGGAGAGGATCTCCTGTTGGATCTATGGAGCTATAATGGAAAAGCTGGGACTAGTGGGTTGGAAGAGGCATTGTGGCGGGGCTAAGTGCAGGTATTCATTGTGGCGGGGCTAAGTGCAGGTATTCATTGTGGCGGGGCAAAGTGCAGGTATTCATTGTGGCGGGGCTAAGTGCAGGTATTCATTGTGGCGGGGCTAAGTGCAGGTATTCATTGTGGCGGGGCTAAGTGCAGGTATTCACGCAAGTGAGCTCATGTTGACTTGACAGCCCTGCCGTCATACCCCCCGTGTTGCTCTTGCCCCTCATGCTCCTCTTGCCTTTCATGCTCCTCTTGCCTTTCATGCTCCTCTTGCCTTTCATGCTCCTCTTGCCTTTCATGCTCCTCTTGCCTTTCATGCTCCTCTTGCCTTTCATGCTCCTCTTGCCTTTCATGCTCCTCTTGCCTTTCATGCTCCTCTTGCCTTTCATGCCAGGCCATCTACAACCTAGCTGCCACCACTCTCAGCCTCAACCCTGCACGGTATGTTCCTTCACTTCACACCCATGCCCTCTCTGCCTCCTGCTCTTTTTCGATCGTTTCATTGTGCTGTGGCACAGAGGAGGCAGGAGATATGCCTCTGTTCACTCCTCTGCTGGCAGCTGTATGGCCATAGAGGACACTCTCATCCGGGTTTTTTGGGTCGACTAAAACATCTTTCAGTCAGACACTCCTTCAATGGGGCTGTTTCAAAGGATGAATATACCCTGCTGTTGGCAGTGTGGCTTGATAAAGGCCAGTCACATCGGCCTCACTGCAGAAACGGCTAAAGCCTCATCATGAGGCCGTCATGGACAGTCATGTCACCACTTCCCCCTTCGAGGCCCATAAACCATGTGACACACCCCCTGTCTCTCTCCTCTTCCCTGTTGGCAGCTGTGTGGTCATAGAGGACAGTCACATCGGCCTCACGGCTGCCAAGGCGGCCGGAATGACCTGTGTCGTCACCAAGAGCGGGTACTGCTGCCTCTTTCTCTATCTTCTCCCCCTCTCCCCCTCAATTGTCTTGTTTGTTTTGTTGGTCTGTTTGCTTTTTTTTTTTTTTTTCCTGTTTCCCACCAGAGCTGTTCGTCCTGCTATGTTGCCTCTACTATCCTCGTTCTTTCGCTTTCCATGCACGCCCACCCATGCTCTTCTCAGCCCTCATTTTGTCAGGGAATGTTGACAGCTCGTTTTCCCCACCCTCTTCTCACCACTCAGCACACACGAGCGTCTCACCTTTTGTGCGACATCCCCATGCATTGAGCTTATTTCTGAGGCGCCTCAAGAATCAACCCTCCCCTCAGCACTCAGCACACACAAGCTTCTCGCCTTTTGTGTGGCGTCCCCCCCACTCTCCCCTCCACAGCCTCTCTTCCCCCTACCACCCCGGTTCCACCAGCTACACGGCGGACGAGGACTTTTCAGCGATGCGTGTTTGACGCCATTGGTGACTCATATGACTCGCACCCTGTGCTCCTGTTCTGCTGTTTCACCTACCCACCTTCCCCACCTGCCCCCCCTCCCCCTCCTTCGCCCCTCTCCCACCAGCTACACGGAAGACGAGGACTTCTCAGCAGCCGATGCCGTGTTTGACGCCATTGGTGACACTCCAGCTGACGGCTTTGACCTTCCATTCCTCGCCTCGCTGCTGTGATGCACCTTTCAACCACCTACCACACCTACAGTACCGCACAACACCGCCTCTCATCCGCCTGCTGCTCCCTGCCTCCCCTTACCTGCATCGCTGCTCCAGCCTCATTCATCCATTCCCACCTTTCCCTGTAACTAGATCTGTGTTTACAAGGGGTATGAATCGTGCAATTGGCCATAGAGTACGCATTCCAAGAGCAAGCAGGAAAGTAAGCATGGTACCGTATGCAGTGGCACAAAACTGATTCTTTTCTGTTTTATACCCAGTCAGAACTTTGTCTGAATCTGGTGCTGTGTAAATGGAACAGCTTATCGGTATGTTCAATAAACCCCACCCCCTGTCATCACTTCAAATCGGCAGTTCAAATGCACACCCCCCCCCCCCCTCCTCTTCCCCCCCCCCCCGAACACCCCCCCGAACACCCCCCCTAAATATGGCACGGTATGTTTAGGGTAAGTTGCAAGCAAACACTGCGCAGAGATTCGCCGAGAACGAGCATGAAACAGCATTGTAACCTCATGGGCAAACTGCCTGTCACAACATGGCAACCTTGCTGCCTTTGAAACATGTGGTTTCTGTTGGGAATAATAAGTCTTAAGCGCCTCTGTCGTGTCGAAACTCAGGACACTAGCGAAGCAGTCCGAATCAAAGCATCGCGAGTCAATCCTCGGAGGTTAGGGTAACCGCCTGGAGGTTACGCGAAGGTCAAAGGTCAGCGACCTTTGACTTGACAAATACAGCGCGACAGCAAGGACACACAACTGACTCGACATTGAGCAGTTGCCCGAGTCGCACTGTATCGAATCGCAACAGTAAAACGGTTTAAGCTTATCTATTCGTATTCCTTGTACTCTTATATAAACCTTTGTATTTGCTTGTTTAATCAACTTACTTTGCCCTCACATACTAGCGCAAGGTAGTTCAAGGACTTTCATTCAAACGCTTCCGCTATTACAATCCTACTCAGACTTTAAGCTCTACAAAGATCCCAGGGCACCTGTGCCCAACATGGTATGAGAGCGGTTAGAGTTTAAAGTTATTTTCCTTTTAACACTCAAATACAAGAAGACATGTCTGCAAGGAAGGAGAGGAGCTCCTCCAACGGCTCTCTAGGCACTACTCCTACTCCACCTCCTGCCTCTGGCCTACTGACAGAGGAAGGAACTACCACGAGACCAGCAGCTGGGTCCACGGAAACTCCCGCAGGCTTCGATCCAAGCATGATGGAGAAGTTCTTCTCCTTCATGTCCTTCTACGAGCAGCACCAGCAAGGAGTACCTGCGCAGTCAAACAACAGCAACAACAACAACGTGACTCCTATGAGCCTCGATGGCTCATCCTACGCACACGGGATTCAACAACAACAACAGCAGCCTACCTTTGCGCCGTACGAGCCCCAACGTGGCTCCGTCAGCTTCATGCCGCAACCGCAACCTGCACCGGGACAAGAAAGGGCATTGGATGCGTTACAAGTTCAATCGCAATTCGCGCATGTCCTAAAACTGCAAACGACAAAGCCTTTCGACGGCAAAGACTTCTTCACCTGGTCGTTCGAGTTCGAACTGATGATGGAAGGAGCACAGATTCTCGGCTTCTTCGACGGGTCCCTGCCATATCCAACAAACGGGACGCAATATGAGAAGCAGCAGTACACCTATCAATCAATGATGGCGTACACGATACTGCTAAGAAACATCACCCCAACCCAGCAGCAGAACATCAGGACTTACCGAGGCTGCGGCAACTCCGCGGAGCTCGCGTACAACCACCTGAAGAACATGTATCAAGCAACAGACAGCGTAAATCAAAGCAGGTTAATGGCGCAGCTGACAACGATTGAAATGAAACCAGGCGAGAAAGGCATGGCTTATATCAACCGCTGCCGCGAACTGCGCGACAAGCTTCTTCGATGCGGCGGGTTGATTTCAGAAGACGCCTTTGTCACGGTGGTCATCGGCGGTCTCGGCCCCCACTGGCGCTCCACTCGCGCCATATTACGAGCACACGGGAGGATCTCCGAAGCGGCACTCTGCGCCGAAATTCATGCTGAGCAGCAGGACATGGACCTGCAAGAAGAAAGACACAAGAAGAAAGCATTAGCACCGGAGTTTGCGTTTCACACTCAGCGACGATACAACGGCAACAACAATCGACAACAGCAACAAGTAAAGACGGTACCTCCGTTCTGCCACATCTGCAAGAGTTCGGGCCATCCTCGCACGCATTGCCCGTCTCGTCAGACAACACCACAGCGACAACTCCGGCCTTCAAGCTCCCAAGTTGCCTCAACGCAAGCAAATCCGACGACCACAATCCAAGCCTCAACAACTTCAACTGGACAACGTGCACAAGGAACAAGAAGCATTGTCAATTGCATGGTGAAGATAACTGATTCGTGCACAACCAAGTCACCACCCCACTACTCACCGGAAGAAGAGCTCGACAACAGGACGTCTCGCCGCGAGTCACTCCAGCCGAATCCAACGTACGCCGCCATCGCTCAAAGCGAACCGTCCGGGCAAGACACCTGGTTCTTGGATAGTTGCTGCGGACAACACATGTGCTCCTCCGGACGCTTCGTACAACGCGAACATCGACTCCAGCGAGAAGTAGTCATCACGGTCGCCAACAACCAGAACCTGCGCACACGACGACAAGGAGTAGTTCAGCTCCAATCAAGAGAGACAAACGTCATACTGCACATGTCAAAGGTACTCATCGCAGAATGACTCGGTTATAACTTACTGAGTGTTAGCCAGCTGATGGCGAAAGGGATTCACTTGGAAGCCGACAACACCACCCAGGAGTTTAAGTTATACCACGGGAAGGGCGGCCTCTACATCGGAAGAGCAGTGTTGAAGAATAACGTCTTCGTTCTTGATTTCGTCCCCGACCTGGGCACTGCAGACAGCGACGCCATCGTCAACTTCACCGACTGGACACATCCTCCGGATCTCGATCCCGACTTCAGCCTGGGAGGTTTCTGGTACTCGCACACCATCCTTGAAGCAGAACGAACACGAGCATTAGCAACGATTCAACAAACGGCAGCAGCAGAGACAACAACGGCAGCAGCAGAGACAACATCAGCAACAGCAGAGACAACAACGACAGCAGGAGAGACAACATCGGTAGCAGCAGAAACAACATCGGCAGCAGCAGGAACAACGACACCAGTCATCGTCGACGAAGCACCACCAACACCCGCACAGCAGCTGACCCCGACTCAACGAGAATTCTACCGAAGCGCCAAATTCGTCGCCAGCTTCTACTCCAACTCCGACGCGTATCAACGCTCACCCGGACATCGCGCCCCTGAAGACATCTGGCACGCACGCACAGGACATCCAAGCAATACGGTGTTAAATAACACAATACGAGCAGGAGTCCTAGACAAGGACTCACTACTACTACCTGACGGCAGAGAACTTCAACGTGCACGAGGGACTTGCCTCATCTGCCCCGTAGCCGACTTACCCCATCGACCGTTTTCTTCTCACCACAACCCGAGCGCACCTGCATACGCACCACTCGAAAAAGTATACAGCGACATCCTCTTCAATCAAGAACCAGGACAAGTCACCTACAATTACACGATCACCTTCATCGACGCCGCCACCCGATACGTCTGGCATCGAAACCTACCCAGCCGCGACATGGCACTCGCAGCGTTCGCAACCTGGCTACCGATAGCAGAAAGGGAATCAGGAACACAGCTGAAAAGCTTCCAGTCAGACGGAGGTGGCGAATACACCTCTCAGCGCTTCAAGCAGTACCTGGCGGAAAGGGGAATCAAGCAACTCCTCTCCCTTCCCTACGCCCATCAGCAGCAAGGTGTGGCAGAAAGAATGAACAGGACTCTGCAGAATAGCATGCGCAAGCTGCTACGTGGCATGCGGCTACCCAACCACCAGTGGCCAGCAGCAATGGACCATGCTGTCATGCTGCACAACTTGCTGTCGTCGTCGTCACTCCCGAACAACGCATCACCGCATCTGCTGTGGACACGAAAACAGGGCAGCACAAAAATGTTACGAGTTTTCGGGTGCATGGTACAGTACCGACCCCCAGAAGCACGAGCGAGAAGATTTTCGCAACGGGCACAGTGGGGACTACACCTCGGCATCGAGAAAAATTACAACGCGTGGAAAATCTTTGATGTCCACTCAAAGGAAACAGTAGCAGCACGTGATGTGATCTTCTACGAGCGACTCACCCTTCAAACGTACCTCGCCAACTTGCACGAGAATCAGGACCCCACAGGTGGCTTTCGTGGTGACCGAGCCTACGCCTCAGCAGCGGACGAAGTAGACTGGGATGAACAGAACGTAGACAACGCATCGGAAGAAGCCGGACCTCTCCCGTTCGGCTCCGTCGACGTGCCCATGGACGAAGAAAATCCTCGCGACAGTGTCAACGCCGAAGTCTTCTACCACTTCGCCGACAACGGTTACGTAACACCTGCGACAGTCAACACATATGAAGCAGAAAGGATAGGGCCAAATTTCATACCCGATCCAGAAGCGGGAGACGAAGCAGCTTATCCCGAGGACCCAACACTCCCCCGATACTCACAGACTGGACTGCAAATCCTTGGTCTCGTCACCGCAGTCCACGGCAACGCACTTCCTAAAGAGCCTGCGACAGTTTAGCAGGCTCTGGAAGGGGAACACAGGGAAAAATGGCGTGAAGCCATGGACAGAGAATTGAAGGCATTAGAGGAACGCAACACCTGGAAGGTCGTTCCCGCAAGCGTGGCACGGAACAAGACCATTCTCACCGGGAAATGGGTCTTCCGCATCAAAACAAAAGCCGATGGCACAATCGAGAAGTTCAAAGCACGCTGGGTCGTGCGTGGATTCGACCAGGAGCAAGGACGAGACTTCACCGAGACTTTCGCCCCAGTTAGTCGACATACCTCTCTCCGAATTCTTCTCGCCGTCGCCGCCATGAAGAAGAAGAAGCTGCGACAAATTGACGTCGCCAACGCATTCCTCTACGCACCCGTCGATGCCGAAATCTTCGTCGAACTCCCCCACGGTACCCACGGAAACCCCAATCAGGTCTGCCAACTACTGAAATCGCTCTACGGAATCAAACAAGCTCCGCGACTGTGGCAACAGCACCTACACACCCGCCTCACTCGCATCGGATTCCGCCAACTGCCTCACGACCAAGGAATGTATCGTCTCACCAAAGGCGCAGACTACATCCTACTGATCGTCTATGTCGACGACTTGCTCTACATCGGCTCCACCGACGACGTCACTACCTGGTTCGAAGGGGAGCTGCAGAAGGACCTCACGCTCACCGTCTCCTCCACCGTCACCCAGTACCTCGGGCTCAACATCCGCGAAGAGGAAAATGCTATCTACCTCAGCGCCGAGAAATACGCCGACACTTTTGCCAAGCGCTTCTCGCTCACACCTACCGCTATCGCCACACCATACCGCCACACGGCAGGAAGCGACAAAGGAAATTCCGCTCCACTCAAAGCTGCCGGAATACGAGACTACCAGAGGAAACTGGGCTGCCTCCTCTTTGCAGCCGTCACCAGTCGCCCGGATCTATCCTATTCCGCAAGCCAACTCACCACCTATCTCAAGAAACCCGAAGCAGAGCACCTGGCGGAGCTCGATCGCGCACTACACTACTTCGTGAGCACACCGACGATCGGCCTGACTTACTACAAGGGCGAAGCTACGAAGACGAAACTAATCGGCTACGTCGATGCTGACCATGCCGGCGATTCTGATAACAGGCGCTCTCGCACTGGCTACGTCTATCGTCTCGAGCCTATCGGACCTATCTCCTGGCAGTCGAGTAAGCAGGAACTAATCGCTCTCTCTTCAGCTGAAGCAGAATATATCGCCCTCTGTTCAGCCACCAAGGAAGGACTCTACCTTCGCGAGTTGCTGGAAGAAGCAAAGTTAGCTGAGTTACCCAACTTCACCCTGTTCTGCGACAACCAATCTGCAATTCGCATCGCCAACAAAAGCGGATTCGCGAACAGAACGAAGCATATCGCTCTGCGATACTTCTTCGTGAAGGACGAGATCGAGAAAGGGAAACTCGAATTATCCTACTGTCCCACGTCCGAGATGGCAGCTGATTATTTGACCAAGAAACTCGGAAAACAGAAGTTCGAGTACTGCATGCTGCTGACTGGACAAGGCCACGTCACCATCAGCGACACTCCAGAAGCGAAGGGGAGTGTTGGGAATAATAAGTCTTAAGCGCCTCTGTCGTGTCGAAACTCAGGACACTAGCGAAGCAGTCCGAATCAAAGCATCGCGAGTCAATCCTCGGAGGTTAGGGTAACCGCCTGGAGGTTACGCGAAGGTCAAAGGTCAGCGACCTTTTACTTGACAAATACAGCGCGACAGCAAGGACACACAACTGACTCGACATTGAGCAGTTGCCCGAGTCGCACTGTATCGAATCGCAACAGCAAAACGGTTTAAGCTTATCTATTCGTATTCCTTGTACTCTTATATAAACCTTTGTATTTGCTTGTTTAATCAACTTACTTTGCCCTCACATACTAGCGCAAGGTGGTTCAAGGACTTTCATTCAAACGCTTCCGCTATTACAATCCTACTCAGACTTTAAGCTCTACAAAGATCTCAGGGCACCTCAGCCCAACAGTTTCTGTGTTTTAATAACCTACGTGACACTTCCATTTCTGTATTCATTATAAGCCAAGTGTTATCAAACAGAATGGCAACTGTTGCAGTCGCTGCTGTGCAATCATCACCTTGTGAGCACCTCCACCCCTGTCTCCGTTATAAGCAGGGTGTGTTGTGTTCAATTAGAGTGACTACTGGCATAGCCTATCATGCAATGCAATCATCACCTTGTGAGCACCTCCACTCCTGTCTCCGTTATAAGCAGAGTGTGTTCAAACTGGGTTGTCAAGGTGCCATCCGCAGTGACGGCCGTCCACCCATCGTCCCACATCACATCCCGCACCCCCCCCATCGTGAACATGGGCTCTGAGAAAGGGGGGAGAGAGTGGGGAGGGAGGGAGCAAGATGAGGGAGAGTAGGAGGAAAGGAAAGAAATGGCGGGAAGGGGAAATAGGCAAGGAGAGGGGAAGAGTGCTGGAACGAGGCTGCGAAGGTGTCATAAGCAGGTGTGCTTTGAGTCGATGTCAGAATGTTATCTTATGCTCTAGCCTGTAGTGGGGTGCTCTATAGCGAGTACAACCCTTCTAGGGTTTGCTATTTGTATCCCCCTTCTTGCTAGTGCAATCCTCTTTCTTTCTTCTAATTTTGTCAGTCGACTCTCACAATGCAGCAACCATGGATGTGTGCACATGTGAGTGAGAGTGAGTGCATGTGTGTGCATGCCATGCGGGTGAGTGCATGTGTGTGCATGCCATGCGGGTGAGTGCAAGCCGACCGAGGCATGCATGCATGCATGGCTCACCGATGGTGAATGTCTGCCCCACTTGCATGCGCCCTGGCTCGTTGTTGCCTGGTGGTGCAGGGGAGAGCGGCGCAGGGGAGATGAGCACAGGAGGGAGGGGCGCAGGGGAGAAGTGAAGGCGAGAGAAGCAGAAAGGGGACAAGCAGAGAGGAAAAAAGTAGAGAGTAGAGCAAAAGAGTGTAGAAGCAGGACTTGCGAAAGTGATGCGTACAGGGGAACAGAGAGGGAAAAGAGGGTGGGATGGGAGGGAGAAAGAGATGTGGGAAACAGCTCTTGTCAGGAGAGTGCAGCACTAGGGTCAGGCCGATGCCTGTGCTGGTGAATGAGGGAGGTTGTGAGGGAGACTGGTGAGAGGAGTGGGGCCACGGTGGGCCCTCTGGGGGGCAGGATGGGGGGAGGGTGAGGGGGAGAAGTCACGGTAATGTAGCACGGCGGGTCCGGCATGGAAAACGGAGCCCACACCGGGGCCGATGAAGAGGTGAATAAGGGGTTTAAGCGGGGGCGAATAGGGGAGTGTACCAGGCAGATTAGTGGCGGGAGGAGGCGAGAGGAGGGTCAGGGGGCTGAACTCACGGTAGTCCAGCACTGCAGGGCTGAACTCACGGTAGTCCAGCACTGCAGGGCTGAACTCACGGTAGTCCAGCACTGCAGGGCTGAACTCACGGTAGTCCAGCACTGCAGGGCTGAACTCACGGTAGTCCAGCACTGCAGGGCTGAACTCACGGTAGTCCAGCACTGCAGGGCTGAACTCACGGTAGTCCAGCACTGCAGGGCTGAACTCACGGTAGTCCAGCACTGCAGGGCTGAACTCACGGTAGTCCAGCACTGCAGGGCTGAACTCACGGTAGTCCAGCACTGCAGGGCCGGCATGGAAGATGGAGCCAACAGCATGGCCGATGAACAGGTGAGGATGAGGGTGAGAGAGGGAGAATAGGCTGAGCGGGGGAGAGGAGGGGGCAGGAGGGGCGATCTCACGATAGTGCAGCACAGCAGGGCCGGCATGGAAGACGGAGCCAACACCATGGCCGATGAACTTCCTTACCACCCCGTAGCTGTGCTTGTCTGCCATGGCGCTGTGAGACGGGCAGCATGGGGTGGCGTGGAGATGGGTGAGGGAGAAAGTGGTGATCAAGACATGGTAGGTGCCTTCTCACCACACCGTACCTGTGCTTGTCTTGTCCGCCACAGCACTGCGCAGTGGGGGGTAGCAGGGAGAGGCGCGGAGATGGTTGAGGGATCATGAGATGATTACAAGATGAGACTTTCTTACCGCACTGTAGCTGTGCTTGTCTGCCACAGCACTGTGAGAAGGACAGCTGCAGCATAGGGAGGCGTGGAGAAGGGTGAGGGAGAAAGTGCTCACGGAGACTTGCACACCACACTGTTCCCGTGCGGGGTATCATTGGGATGACATCAGTTTGCATGGCATCCAAGTCATACACCATCCACATGCTATCCACATGCCATGCCATTCACATGCCATCCACATGCCATGCCATTCACATGCTATCCACATGCCAAGTCATTCACATGCCATCCACATGCCATGCCATTCACATGCCATCCACATGCCATGCCATCCACATGCCACCCACATGCCACTAACGTGCCACCCGCATGCCATCCACATGCCACTAACATGCCACGATATAACACCACATGGCATGGCAGCATGCGAATCGACACGCACATCAACCCTGAGGCGAAGAAACAAGAGCATGTGTGCACTGTGCCGGACTGCACTGTGCCGGACTGCACTGTGCCGGACTGCACTGTGCCGGACTGCACTGTGCCGGACTGCACTGTGCCGGACTGCACTGCTGGGAGGCACGATGGTGCGCCGCACACACAGCAGCAATTCATGTGGATGCAAGAAAGGAGCACAGCAGGGCAGACTAGAATGGCAACTGGCGTGCTAGACGGGACACTGGCTGGCATATTCAATGGCGATGGCACGAGATGCTTGGGTGGAGGAGGAGGAGGAGGAGGAGGAGGAGGAGGAGGAGGAGGAGGAGGAGGAGGAGGAGGAGGAGGAGGAGGAGGAGGAGGAGGAGGAGGAGGAGGAGGAGGAGGAGGAGGAGGAGGAGGAGGAGGAGGAGGAGGAGGAGGAGGAGCAGGAGGAGCAGGAGGAGGAGGAGGAGGAGGAGGAGGAGGAGGAGGAGGAGGAGGAGGAGGAGGAGGAGGAGGAGGAGGAGGAGGAGGAGGAGGAGGAGGAGGAGGAGGAGGAGGAGGAAGGGGGGGCAGAGGACGATCGTGGCAACATAGCCCCCCTTACTGAATGGCGTGGCCGATCTTCTTGAACTCGGCGTCGGGCCCACAGACTGCAATGGCTGCATTCAACGCTTCCTCTGTCACCTGGTGGCCCCAACCACACACACGTGAGGGGATGGGATGAGATGGGATGGGATGGGATGGGATGGGATGGGATGGGATGGGATGGGATGGGATGGGATGGGATGGGATGGGATGGGATGGGATGGGATGGGATGGGATGGGATGGGATGGGATGGGATGGGTGGTAGACATGGTGTGGTAAATTGATGCCAGGAGGAGAGTACATACACATTATATTAGATTGGTATATGGAGAATGGTGTACGAAGAGCGCAGCATGGGAATGTGCATGCAAGCATAGGAGCATGCACGCACGCACAGCATCGGGACACTAGGCAAGAGCATGGAATGGAGCCAAACTATCAAGCAGCGCGGTCTTTGGCACAAAGAAAAGCAATGAAGCTTCCTTATCCTTGCACGTCACACAGAGAAGCAGCTTCCTGACCAACCAGCCCCGTCAGCTTACCGTCAGTCAGTCACACCACTCTCGCACTCTCGCACATCACCTCCTCACCCCCCTCACCTCCTCACCCCCCTCACCTCCACACCCCCCTCACCTCCACACCCCCCTCACCTCCACACCCCCCTCACCTCCACACCCCCCTCACCTCTACTAGTTTCTTGGCAGCTGTAGAGACGTTGCCGCAATAAAATGTCTTGGACGTGTCTCCGTGGTAACCCTATATACAATAGGGCGAGCGGAGAGGGGACATGGAGGGAGAGAGTAACACGTGAAGGGCTTTACAATGTGCCTTTGAGTGGTGACCCGGCAAGTGAGTCAGAGGGACAGGGATAGGGTAGGGTGAGTGAGAGCACGTGAGGAAGAGTGAGAGGTGGGGAAAAGTGCAAAGGGGAATGGAGAAGGGTTGTAGAGGGAGAGGGGGAGTGAGTGGCGAAGAGGAAAGGCGGAGCGGTTGGACAAGGGCGTGGGAAGGCTTACGGAGAGAGGGTAAGAGGGCAGGCGGTGAGCTATATGGCGAAGTGCAACACAGCGGCCCAAGTGGAGAACCCGCTAGTGGGCGCCCCAAACGAGGACATGTCATTCTGGAGCCTACCTTGGAGCTCCCTTACAGGGCTTTGTGTGTGGTTATATATGTGGTAGGCTTGCAGTCTTTGGAGGATAAAGGTACACATATGCATGCCTGTACTTTTGGAATTAAATACAATGACCGCTTGTGAGAGAGGGAGAGGGGGTTCAAGAGCGGGGAGGGTGGAGAGCTCACGTTAAGGTACACTGTGACGTCGATGTTGATTATGTCCCCATCCTGGTGGGGTGGGGTGGTGGGGTGGCCTCATTGCAGCACAGAAGCACGAACAAAATAAGAAGAGGAAAAGAAAGTTTAGCGAGCCAGCCAAGGTACACAGTGGAGGGTGGGGCGTTGAGGTACACTGTGACGTCGATGTTGATTATGTCCCCATCCTAGTGGGGTGGGGTGGTCACATTGCAGCACAGAAGCAGCACAGGAAAGGAAGGAAAGGTTGGAAATTCAAGGTACACAGTGGCAGGTGGGGCGATGAGGTACACTGTGACGTCGATGCTGATTATGTCCGCATCCTAGTGGGGTGGGGTGGCCGCATTGCAGCGCGGACGCAGCAGAGAGCACAAAAGCAGCACAGGGAACGAAAGGGTGGAGAGTTAAGGTACACAGTGGCTCGTGAGGCACTGACGAAGGTACACTGTGACACGACGTTGATTATGTCCCCATCGTGGTTGAGCGACGATGGGCGACACAAACAGCACCAAAACAAGAAGGTTAGCGTTTTGAGTCGACTCAAATCAAAGCATGCCAATGGAATAGAGAGCCCAAAGCATGCCAATGGAATCGAGAGCCTAGAGGTTACGCAATTGGAGCAGTGGGCGCGGCATTGAGATGCCAAGTGCATCACACTGAGGAGGAGAGGAGGAGAGGTTAATCTTGTGGTGAAGTTGGGCGTGTGAAAGGAGAAGTAGTTTTTTTGAGACGTCTCAAAACACGAAGTTTTTTTGAGACGTGTTAAAGAAGTTTTTATGAGACGTCTCAAAACGTGCATCACACTGAGGAGGAGAGGTTAATCTTGTGGTGAAGTAAGGCGTGTGAAAGGAGAAGAAGCACAGAGACTCGATTTGCACGGCGAGCTGTCCCTTGATTTCCCTTCACCAGCACCTCACCTCACCGCGTGAAAGGAGTGTTTTGAGACACACCGCGTCTCAAAACACCTTGATTTCCCTTCACCAGCACCTCACCTCAAAACACCTTGATTTCCCTTCACCAGCACCTCACCGGAACAGCTCCTGTGGATGAATCGTCTCGTCACACATGCAATGCAATCCAAGCCTGCTGCTCACCTCCGGCGGCCGCAAGTCGGGGATGCCATGCCATGGCAGATACATTCGTTCGCCGATGTGCACACAGACTTGGGGAAGCCCGCGTAGTTGACTTGACACATGCATGCCTACCTCCACAGTGGTGACCAGCTGAGCCTACCTCCACAGTGGTGACCAGCTGAGCCTACCTCCACAGTGGTGACCAGCTGAGCCTACCTCTAGCGGCCGCGAGTCGGGGATGCCGTGGCAGATGCACTCGTTGACAGATGTGCACACAGACTTGGGGAAGCCTGCGTAGTTGAGCGGCGAGGGGTATGCTCCCGCCTCTATGATCATCTCATGCACTGCACGGTCTATTTCGTCTGTTGTGACTCCGGGCTGTAAGGATGGGGATACGGAGGAGATGGGGGTAGGGCAGCACAGGGCGTGGCGTGGCGTGGCCATGGAGAGCGGCGTGGCGAGGGGTATGTGCCCGCCTCTACGATCATGTCATGCGCCACACAGTCGATCTCGTCTGTTGTCACGCCGGGCTGCGCAGATGGGAATGGGGATGAGACGGACGGGGATAGGGGGCAGCACAGAGGGGAATGCGCTTGCATCAATGATCATCTTTGAGTGGAGAAAGACGCACGCGTCCTGCTGCGTCCTGCGTCTGGACGCTGCGTCCAGACGCAGAGACGCAAGACGCGCGTCCAGACGCAGGACGCACCCTGTATATTTTTTCTGGGCTGACCGGAAAAAAAATTGTTGCCCCAGCGCGAAATTGACCCTAACGATTTCGACGCGACGTCAATTTCGCGTCATGTCGACCCCCCCTAACCCATTTCGACCATCAAAAACACCCTAGAGGGTTTACCAAGACAATTCTCCTTCGTAAACCCTAAACCCTGGAAATTTGAAGAGGACGATTTTGCCTCAAATGTGTGCATCGTCCTCTCCCCCCCCCCCCCCCCCCCCCCCCTTCCCATACCCTACAACATCATTTTTCGGCTGCCCGGGGGTTTTTTTGCCCTGCCCGGGCATGCGTCTTTTCATGCGTCCTAAAGGCCCTCCTCTAGTGTCCTGCGTATAAGACGCTGCGTGTGGACGCATGCGTCCTAGATGCCGGCAGGACGCGTCTTTCTCCACCCGTGACCTTTGGGTCGACTCAAAAGTCAGCACGGAGGGGGAATGCGCCTGCATCAATTATCACCTCGTTCCCGCACGGTCGATCTCGTCTGTTGTCACGCCGCGCTGCGCTGTGAGGATGGGGGAAGCAGGTGAGTCAGAGCAGACAGGTGTGGTTGGGTTGGGAGCCCTTTCACAGACAGGTGTGCATTCGGACGGACTTGATCAGCCGGGTGGGGTAGGTGAGCTGAGGATTTGGAAGGCGAGTGCTGGTACCCGTCGCCCGCCCAAACCTTTACTTTCAATGGTCGTCAGCAATTTTAAAAATTAGAATGCTCAAACATGGGGCATAGCAAGCAAGCAACCCAGAGTACAGTACAGCACAGCACAAACGCCCTTCGGGCTGACTTCGCCCTTCGCCCTTCGAGTCGACTCAGAAGTCAGCTCGTTACAATGCAACCCAGAGTACAGTACAGTACAGCACAAACGCCCTTCCATCCCCCCTGCCCCCACCCACACCCAAACCCCCACGCCCAAACCCGCCCCCGCCCCCACCCGCACGCACACACACCCACAACACCACTAACCTTCACAAGCGTGGCGGCGTGGTCTCTCACGCGTGCTGCCAGCCGCCCCGCCTCCCCATGCACCACTCGATCAATCTCATACAGCTACATATACCACCCATCCCACCCACGCACCTTCACAAGTGTGCCGGCGTGGTCTCTGACTCGTGCTGCCAACTGCCCCGCCTCCCTCATGCGCCTCTGCCCCTCCTCCCCATGCACCTGCAAGCAATGCCATGCCATACCACGTCATGCCATGTCTTGCCATACCATACCATACCATGCCATACCATACCATGCCATACCACACCATACCATGCCATAACACACCATACCACGCCATACCACACCATACCACGCCACACCACACCATAACACGCCATACCACACCATACCATGCCATACCATGTACCAGCGAGACGGGAGGGTGTGGTGAGTGAGAGAGAGGGATTGGTAGCATGAGTGAGTGACGCTGAAAGTGATGCAATAGCAGCGCCTCCTGTGCCAGCAGCACCATGTGTGCCACTGCCAGCACCACGTGGCGCCACTGCCAGCACCACGTGGCGCCACTGCCAGCACCACGTGGCGCCACTGCCAGCACCACGTGGCGCCACTGCCAGCACCACGTGGCGCCACTGCCAGCACCACGTGGCACCACTGCCAGCACCACGTGGCGCCACTGCCAGCACCACGTGGCGCCACTGCCAGCACCACGTGGCGCCACTGCCAGCACCACGTGGTGCCACTGCCAGCCTATGTTGGAAAAGTCGCCAGAAACCATAAGCACACACCGTATAGGCGTTAACGAATATACGGTGTACGCAATTCGTACGTATATTCGTAGGGTAAAATTCGGGCTGACCAGAAAAAAACCCAGATTTGTGTTGTCGCGCACGAATTGCGAATGTGCGACGCGACTCAAAATGTACGCACGTCCCAACCCAATTTGTACGCACCTCCCAAACACATTGTCACCCACACCTGTCAAAAGTTGGGGACGTGGGAAAGTCAGAACCGCATTGCACCCTATGTTATCGCGCGACTCCAACACACAAACACGAATGTCGTCAACCAGCGGAGGTGGTTCAACCACAGCGTGGACTATAAGGTAAGCTGTTTCCCGTCATGTGTAGTATCTCTCTCTTTCATTCTCTCTCAACGCACCCGCCCAGCTCCACTTGATGTCGACTCCTACTGGTACTCCCGCGAGTGCCACTAGTGAGGCTCCTAGTGTTTCGAATGACGCGACCATGGCGGACGGCGGGGATGTTCCTGAGAACACCCATGTTATTTTTAAGCATTTCATTACCTCTACCGAAGGTTCCTCAACTGGTCCTGAGCGAACTCTCCGCACATGCTGGTATTGCAAGCTTAAGTTCGTAGGCGGCGCCTTCCGTTGTGCGCAACACATCACGCGCTGGAAAGGGCTGAAACGGAAGGACGTCCGTCTTTGCAAGGCGCCAATCCCTCCTGCTGACCGCAACGCCGTCCGCGAATTGTACGAAGGTAAAAATGCCCGCATGGAAGGGAGGAAGAGGGCGGAAGAGATGGCGATCGAGGCGTGTGCGGGTGGATCGAAGAAGCAGTGCATCGAAGACTTTTACGGGGAGGGGGCGTCGTGTGCGAAAGACTCGGCAGACGACGCCATCTGCCTCATGTGGGCGGCACTTCACCTCCCGGAGCATCTCGCCGATCACCCTCTTTGGCGCAACGCTGTGCGCAGCATCGCGGACGCGGGCCATGGCTACGTTCCGCCGAAGCGGCGGTATGTTGGTGGCGCCGGCCTGCAGCGCTGCCGCGGAAAGATCGAGCGGGGCCTCGCTCCCATCGCTGCGAGCTGGAAGCGGGATGGAGTGACGATCGGTTCGGACATGATGACGGACAAAAGTGGCCGTCCCCAAGCCAACATCCTGCTCATCAACGACTCCGGTGCTGTGTTCGCCGAGAGCATAGACTGTAAGATGGAGACGAAGACGGGAGGTTACATTGCATCCGTTTTGCGCCCCATCATTGAGAAGGTGGGGCCCGCCAACATCGTTGCCTTCTGCATGGATGGGGGCAGCAATTACGCGGCTGCATGTCGGGAGCTCATGCAAGAATTTCCTCACATTGAGCATGTGCCGTGCGCGACTCACGTCATGGATCTGCTCATGGAAGATATTGGGAAAATGGATTGGGCAAAGGACATTGTGGCAAAGGCGGGGTTGATTGTTACCTTTGTGCGTGCCCACCATTTCACCAAAGGTTACATGAGAAGCCCGCAGGTGAAGGGAGGGAGGGGGAAGCAGGTGCTGAAGCCGGCGGGCACCAGATTTGGCACGCAATTCATCGCGGTGCAGCGGCTTTGCGAGGTGCGGAGTGCATTGACGGACATGGTGCTGAGCCCGGAGTGGCGGGATTGGGCGAAGGGGAGGAAGCCGCCGGTCGAGCCCTTCGCAGCCATGATCATGGATGCCGTGTGGTGGAAAGGGGCGGAATTCTTCGTCGCCCTCCTGAAGATCCCCTTTCTCGTCATGCGCAAGACCGACTCGACGGCCAAGGCCATGATGGGCAAGATCTACGATCTCATGCTGCAGCTCACGGAAGACATCAATGCGAAGCTGGAGGAGGAGTAGACGGGATTGGTGCTGTCCAGCACTGAACGCACGGAGGTGACCAACATCGTCCAGAAGCGCTGGGACAACAGCATGGCGTGTGCCATGCACGTGGTTGGCCGGATCCTCAATCCGGTCAACTAAGAGGAAGGCATCTTCCGGACCGACCTGGAGTGCACGCGCGTCTTCAAGGCGTTTGTCTCTCGTCACTTCGGGGGGCAGACGGTGACGCGCAAGGAGGGCGAAGAGCTGCGTGCTTCCCACGTCATCCAGGACGGGCTGACGGCATTCAACACCCTCCAGGGGAGCTTCGGCCTACCTGACGCCATCACTGACCGTGAGCTCGTGAAGGCCGGTAAGAAGACGGCCGTGGATTGGTGGACGTGGCACGGGACGGACCACCCCGAGCTGACAACGCTCGCCTGCCGCGTTCTCTCTCAGCCCGTGTCCGCATCGGCGTGTGAGAGGAACTGGGCAGTGTGGGAGTCGATCCACACTGCCAAGCGCAACAGGTTGGGGTCCGAAAAGTGTCGGGACCTCGTGTATGTTGCGCACAATTGGAACATTGTGCGCAACTGGCACAAGGGCCCTGAGGGGGTGACGGTTCGCTCGGGGAACATCCCTGAGGCCCCCCTGCCGGAAGGGTACAAGGAGGTTCTGGAGGAGGATGAGGAGGAGGGGGAGGAGGAAGAGCTGGAGGATGAGTACAAGTAGAGGAGGAAGGAAGGGACGGGGGGAGTAGAGGGAGGAAGTAGGAGATGCATGTTGTTAGATTAGAGTAGGTGAAATTTGAAGTTTTTATTCTGTAACAAAAATGTATGGTACAACCTCCCCTCTCCCCCCTCTCCCCCCCCCCTCCTGGAGGGGATTTTTCCCCTCTGCTCGGGAAAAGTTTTATCCTGCCCGGGCAGCGTACTTTTCGCGACTTTCAAGGTCAGGCATTCAGCGTATAGCGCATTATACGCAAGCGTATATACGCTTGCGTACAATGCGCTGGGCGCGACTTTTCCAACATAGCTGCCAGCAGCACAAAGGGGGTTGGGCAATGCAGGAGGGCATAGCAACATGTGGCTCCATCCATGCGAGGTGACTTTTGAGTCGACTCAAAAGTCACTTTGGGCAATGCAGGAGGGCACAGCCACCTGTGGCTCCATCCATGCTCCTCCTTCCCTCTCAGCTGCCAGTGACCGGGAGGTAGGTATCGCTCAGAACCACCCACAGCCAGTCAGCGCCTGTCAGAACCACTCAGAACCGCGCGTTCTTGTTCTCTATCGCATGCACCTGTGGCCCATGCTCGCACACACCTGTGCCTCCACACCGTACCACACCACAGTGCACACCTGAGCCTTCATGCGCGCTCACTCATACCACAGTGCACGTCTCACCCTCACACCACACCACACCACACCACACCACACCACACCACACCACAGCACGCACCTGGGGCTCCATGGTAAAGGGTGGGGAGATGCCACTGTCAGCGTAGGGCGGGCGAGGGATGTGGGGGGGCACTGCGCGCATGGGGGACAGCTTTCCGCGCTTCAGGGGGACCTTGGGGCGCGACTCCGCTGGCGGGCCTGACATGCTGGGGGGGGGGCGGAAAAAGGGGGAACGGAGAGCAGCACCCGTGGCAGCGTTAGCTTGTTGGGGGGAACTGGGCGGAGGAGCAGAGGAGGGTGGGGGAAGGTGAGGTGAGGTGATAGCTGAGGGGGGTCGGATGCTGAGGTGATAGCTGAGGGGGGTCGGATGCTGAGGAAGCGGACGGGTTCTGAAGGGGAAGTGGGCGGGCGCGGGGATGAGTGGAGGGGAAGGTGAAACAGTTTCTAGCAGGAGGGACAGTGGGATGGGAACGCGCGTGGCAATTGTTGTTGGCACTAACATCACGTCACATCGCCGCCCTTCCGTTCGCTTCCCCTCTTGCACCTTCGCTCCCATTCATTCATGATCCACACGAATCCTCGACCCCACCCAAAAGCCCTATCCCTCCGCCCTTCCCCTCCGCCTACCCCTTGGACAGCAGCTGCGCGAAGCCGGACTTCTTGCGCGCCATGGCCACTGGCGCAACGGGCTTGGGCGCGCGGGGAGAGGCTGGGGGAGGAGGGGAGGGGGGAAAGGAGGCGAAAGGAGAGGAGCAGCGGGAAATGGGAGGCCAGCGGAACGACGGGGGGGAGAGCGAAAATTGCGGGAAGTATTGGCCGAGTTGGCGGGAATTGCGCGAGCGAGCTGGAAAGGAATCGAATGTGAGAGATGCTGTAAGGCCAAGAGGGACTTCCGACGTCCGCGTCCAGAGAACGAGCGGGAAAGCGAGAATCGAGCGGGAAAGCGAGAATCGAGCGGGAAAGCGAGAATCGAGCGGGAAAGCGAGAATCGAGCCGGAAAGCGAGAATTGAGGAGTGTGCATCGAAGACGGAGAGGTAGAGGGTGCTCCAGCGAAGGCGCCACCCCTCAAAAGCGGTGAGAATTCGTCAAAAGCGACGTAGCGTGACAAACGCACCACGCTCTCCCAGCTTTCAGAACCCTAATGACTGAAACCTCCTCTGTACTGCCGACAAGCTGTGCTGGCTATACCTTGAAACGCTGGAACGGGAATGGACCCTTTGGCGAGTCTCGAATCGCTCCATAGCGAGGAATGCTGCCAGCCTAAATTCCGCGCGGAGCCCGCTAAACCCTGCGAGGGCGCGAGACGCGAAGCCATCGCACGCGCAGCCATGGTTCCGGCGGTAAACGCGGGGTGTAGTGCGGCGCGCGATGACATAGAAAACTAATGGGTCGCGCTCGCGTCTATGTAGTCTTAGCCCGCAACCCGCTAGCGTGCAGTGTGTGAGGTGAAGGCAGAGGTTCGGCGGCAACAGCAGGTCAGGACGCATTCGTCGCAGCATCCAAGAGCGAGAACATCGGTTCGTGGCGACGGTCGTGATTGGTTATGGTGCGAACTCGCTGGGTGTCGAAAACCGGGTGCGAGAGCTGACAAATTGAGACGATCTCGCCTACGTTACCCGGTGTTAGAATGAAGAAGAAAATTTTCCTGTCTCCTTTGGACTTTGTTCTCCACCGTCGGTTCGCATGTATCGCGCTGCCTTTAGCAGAGTTCCGTTTGGTTTTCGCTTTTCTCGCCAAACCTGACCTCAGATTCCCAAAGCGAATCTGATCCCGTGAGAGTAGGGATGTGGACGAGTTGCGAAATGCCCTCCTCATTCTGCGACCTTGTAGCCTGCCCTTCACCACTGCACACACACACTGTTTCGTAGCTTCGTAGTGGTGTGACCGCCGACCCGCAAGTTGCTCCCCGCAACTGGAGGCAGTGCAGACGACAGCGCCTCTCAAAACGACATTTACTCGTTCTGTCAGCAGTTCCCACGAGACGTCTCAAAACATTCTTCAATCAAACGAGATTCACTCGTTCTGTCAGCAGTTCCCACGACCAGCAGCACCTTTCGCTACGACGACCACGAAAGCTCCTAGCAGGATCGCGGCGGACGGCGTACGACATCACCTGTCAGATAACGAGTCACTCGTAGCAGGATCGTAGCGAGTCGCTTCGCTCTCTTTCTAACTCTCTCGCTAGCGCAACCAATCCTTCGGTCGCTCTCCTAGCGCTGGTGCAGCGCCTTAGCCGGCGGAAAGGCAGAAGCATAAGCGTTGGATAATGCAGAAGGTACGCGCGGCGGTATACGATCGTGCGATTGGTATACGATCGTGCGATTGGTATACGATCGTGCGATTGGGTCTCGCTGATTCCCCGTGGGCACAACGAGGCACGCTAGGCATCACGATTAGAATCCGAATATCGCTTCGGATGTTTCAACAATGTCCATCATACCCAACGATCTTGGGCTAGTACCAGTTGAATCCAAGGTGACATGGGAGGATCAGCAGAACACACGGTGACAGACTCTGCTGTGTCCTTAATGCGGTTCACATCTCTGGTTTGCGCAGGGCGAGGGCGCGGACCCCGAGGTGACATGGGAGGACCAGCAGGAGATACGATGGCGGACTATACAGGGCTTTAATGTGGTTGTGCTTCCTTGCATGTGTGGTTGGTGTGGCAGGGCGAGGGCGCGGACCCCGAGGTGACATGGGAGGACCAGCAGAACATCAACAAGTTCGGGCGGCTCAACAACCGGCTGCACGAGCTGGACGACGAGATCAAAGCCAAGAAGGTGAGTGGGCACTTATCGAGTAGCTTTATATGGCTGTGTGGCGTGTCGCTTGCAGTGCAGCATGCGACTCAACAACCGCCTGCACGAGCTGGATGACGAGATCAAAGCCAAGAAGGTGAGAGGAGTTCGAGAATAGAAGGCTTGCACTGCAGCATCTGACCCAACACATCACTGCCCAAACCGGATGACCCAACTCAAGCTGACGTGGTTTCACAATGGCATACTTTGTTCGTTTAGAGGAACGCACCCGTATTTGCGTGACGGACCAACACCAGCCTAACCTACCCGAGTGGGATGGTGAAGCTGGCAAGCCATGCGCGTGCCTGCATGGATGGCAAAGATGCGATGCAAAGCCTGCTATGTCTGCGCTGGCTCACACGGAGAGCATGGAAGGCGCTGAATATTCCTGGCAGTGCAATACGTTGTGGAAGGAGCAAGGGGTGGTTTTCGAACGATGACGATGACAACACAGTGCTGTACCTGGCAGGAGGGGAAGGTTTCTTCTGTTATTGCTGCCTGTCCCAACCCCCCTGTTCCACCTTTGTGCTCGCTGCCAGGACCATTTTTGGACAGGGGAGAACTTGGCAGGGGAAGGTTTCTGTACTGTTCCTGCCTGCCCAACCCCCGTCTTCCACCTGTATTCCCCCCGATTCCTGCCTGTTGTGCTCCCTGCCAGGTCCATGTTCGGACAAGGGAGAGCATGGCAGGGAAAAGGAAAACGCCCAACTATGCAGGACAAGGCTCCATGTTCATCCCTGCATGTACTTCCCAACCCCCCCCCTCTTCCCTTTCCTCTTCTGCCCCTTGCCTGGACTACTTGGAGAACATAGAGGATGCGAGCAATGAGCTGACGAGACTAAG